CTGAAAATATACATTAAGAGTTAGGCTGTTCTGAAGGAAGCCGAGTTCCAACCTAGTAAAGTGACCTGGGATTTGATTGCAGTTAACAACATGGAAGGACTCCGGACTCTTACCCTGTTGGCTGCGTCCCGTGCTTGTTCAATAAGGTCCTTGATCTTCTTGATGTTCTCCGAGATGTTGCTGATGGGTGAGAAGTTTGAGGTCAGATTCACCACCTCGGAGATCTTATCATTCAGAGTTGGGATCTTCGTCAACAAGTCATTCACTGCAACGTTAAAACACAGAGAAAACACGAGTCATAATGATCCTTACCATAAGAGAGGGAATTTAAAAAGTGTTAAAGTCACATTTGATCAAATGCTCACCTGACTTGTCCACAATGTCCAATATGTTGCCAAGGTTGGAGTCCACAGGAGACAGACTAATTTTCTCTATTTCCTTTTTAATGTCATCCAGTCTGTCCATAGTGTTGGCAGCAGAATCGTTGGCTGCGGCTGCCTTCCGTTTGGCTTCATTGATCATATTTTCAATGTCATCTGAAATTGAAAAGGGGAAAATTAATTCTGACTGACTGAGACAAATTCACACTGATCCTGCTAATGTCTGGACTTGCTCTACCTCGGTTGGTGTTGTTTAATTCCTTCTTCACATCAAGCAGGGCTTTCTCCAAAGATGTCTTTTTCTTGTCAGCATTTTTCAGCCGCTTCTTTAAGTCATTGAGGTCTACAGTTGCATCTGAGAGAAACCCCCCCCCAAAAGAATAAAGAATAAGCATCTTGTGAAATGAGAAACTATAAAAGCGTGATCTTGTAAAAAAGCCAAGTACCCTGGAGCGTTTGGTTTGCTTCCCGTGCATTCTGCAGCAGGTCATCACCGGTATCCTTTAGGTCTTTGGCTCTTTCTGTGAGTTTCTGGTTTTGGACATTCTGTAATTGAAAAAAAACCCAGTATTTGAAGTGAATTATTGTCATAAAAATACAAGCAAATATAAAGTATAAAAATCCTTGTCTTACATTCAGAGCATTTTCTGCTGCATCTTTGGCTTCTTTAGCAGCAGCGTCAGCAGCGTTAATGGCGTTTGTGATGTTCTTGTAAGCATCGATAGCATTTTTGGCGTCACGCACTGCAGTGGTTCCACTTGCGTTCTTCACAGCGCTATAAATAGATAAAGTGAAAGAAAAAAAAACATAAGCAACATAAATAAAAATCACATCTGAAGTCTGTGCTTGAATAGCTCTGAACCAGAGAGAGAGCAGGCGTGCTGATGTCTTTACACATTAGCTGTAACGTTAAACCTACTTTTCAAGTTCTTTGGCCATTTTGAGGAGTTCCTCTGCGTGATCCTCTGCAGCCCGCACAAGGTTCTCCTTGGCCGCTGCTTCAGAAATCTCTTTCACCTTCTTGGATAAATCTGCCTTGGCTCCATCCAGCTGTGCAGCCAGCTGTTCATACTCCTAAAGTGGAAAAGGACATGAATTCATTTGAGACAAGTCCACGTATCTAACCCTGTTACAGAGAAAGTGGTTAACATAAATCTACAGAGTGAATATGAGAGGAGAGCATGTTAAGACCTAAGAGTGTGGAGCAGGTGTAGAACCAGAGAACATCTTTACCGTTTTACTGTCTGTCAGCTTTTTCACCAAATCTTTTGCCTTCTTCAGCTCGTCCTGTGCCAAGGCCATTTGGTCCTCCACCGTCCTTTTCTCCTCGTTCAAGTCCTGGACGCGTTTCTGCAGGACACATTCATTATAAACAACTGCGTAACCACAGGTACAAAACTACACTTCTTTCCCAAAGACGGTTAACTGTAAAAAGTAACGTAGTCTAAAAGGAAGAAGCTGTGTTATTTGATTTAGCTAAAGAAAATTTGTAGTGTTATAAACTGCAGTGACACATAAGTATGTCTGTTTCAGTACAGGAACTTCTGGATGAAGATGCAGCCAGTAGGTGGCAGTATTGCAACTTTGTCACTTCCCACTGGGGCAGAAGAAATATCACAACAGAATTTGTAGTTAATTTATAATCTTATACATCTAAATATAATCTTTTTGGGTTTTTTTTTTGTTTGTTTTTTTTTTTTAGAATATTATTTACAAACACATGACACCAATATCTGGCTGCTTTATATTTACCATCTCTGCTGTAAAGACATGAAATAAACAAAATAAAAGGGAAGAAACAAAGCACTTCACGTAATCTAACCAACCAAAAGCCACAACTTCAAATAGTCAGTTACCTGCATGTCTTTCAGGGCCTGAGCGCTGAGGTTATTCTCCATATTGGCCTTTTGCAGTGAGTCCTTGGCCTCCTTCAAGGCCGCTTCCAGGTCTTTCAGCTTCGCTTCGTAATCCTTCAGGTGACCCTCGAGTCTCTCTGCTGCAGCCTCGTTCTCTGTGCACTGCTTAGTGACATTGGCCTTGATGTGCTCAAGCACTGGAGAGAGTAGAATGACATAAAAAATAAACAAGTGTGAGGACGGGTGCACAGAAGCCTCTAGTTTAAAAAAAGAATAAACAGATTTTTCTGGTCTCGTACGTTTTTCGGCTTCGTCCCTCTCCCTCTCAGCTGCCGTCTTCTGGGGGTCAAAGTCTTTGTTCTCCATCTCCTTCACCATACGCTGGGCTTCTTCCATCATTTTAGCCAGGTTTTCACTGGTCACAGAGTCACCCCTGGTGTCTCCCTCTTTCAGCTGGTCGAGGAGCGCTGCACATACAGGATGAAAAAAAAATTTTGGTCATCATATTGGAGGTTATCCTTACAAACGTTTTTACCCCGCAAGGTTTTCCTGTACCTTGGATTTTAATCAGCAGGTTTCTGATCTCTGTGTCCAGTGTTTTGGCTCGCGTGTGGGTTTTCTCAACTTCTGCCAATGCCTTGTTTGTTTCAGTGGCCCTTTTATCTGCCTGAACGAACAAAGACAGTATATACTGATACTCCATATACTCAATGTACTGTACACTGAAGCCCAAGTATGCAGTCATGGACTCTACCTTTTTGTCAAGGGTACTGATGTCGTCTGAGAGACTGTTCATGTCCACTTCCAGCTGTTTGACTCTGGACCTTTCAGCAGTGATGGTAGTGCTGTATTTGTTGACAAGAACCTGTGTAAACAACGACAACAGAAATGTCTATGGTGAGCTGTAATAAAAGGAAAATCAAAGAATATGACAGATTAACTGCAGTATATCGCAGCACTTTCAGTGCACAGTTTCTGGTGTCATATTTACAACTTTAGATATATCACCACTCAGTGATCAGAATATATTTCAATCTAAGCGTATTACCATTTCTTTTGACAATCAGAATGAATGGAAATCATGTGATAAATCAACTACCTTGGTGTCTGACACGGCCTTCTCCAGTTTCTTCAGCCTGTCCTTGGATGTGGTGCTGGCTGTGGCATTGTCCAGCTGAGATTTGATGCTGTTCAGGTCATCGTCCAGCTTCTCCAGGTCATTCAGCAGTGTCTGAGCACAGCTGTCACACTCTGAGACACAAAGGACCTTTGGTTATTGAGTACTGCATATCAACGACTATGAGTTCATTTAACAAAAAAGTATATGTGAATATATGTATCTCCTGTATATTGTTTGTCATGTTTGGTGTTTGCATAAAAATGTCAACAAGTTTTATTGATATATCTTTGTCAAAATATAATCAGAATAAAATTAAATTATAAAAACGTTATAATTGGAACCCTGTTAAAAGAATTGCAAAAAGAACATTTTAAAGGAAATTCAAATTCCTCTGAGAAGGGGATGTAAAGATATTTTTCAGTTTCTTGGAACTTTTTGACTTACCCTAGTATGAGTTTTACAATCACACCTTTTTCTTTCTAATTTTACCTTTGCAGTGCTCATCTGTGTCCGTGTCTCCAGGCTCCTGGGTGTTTTTGCAAACTGCAGAAATAAAAAAAAGCAAAACAAAAACATTGAATGATTTAATTTGGGAAAAATTATCATCATTATCAATCATGAAGGTCAAACGCCGTCACTGTCCAACCTCCGGTCCGGGAGTCACACGTGTTTCCGTTGCCATTGCAGTTACATCGTTGACAGCTCCCTCCTGGTATCAGCGGATCGCCGTAGTACCCTGGAGCACACCTTTAACATAACCCAAGGAAATGAGTGGGATTGAAACCACAAATTACACAGATTACAAATTACACAAATTACAAATTAATCGACAGGTGACCTTAGCCGCACAGACTCTCACCTCTCACATTTGTCTCCACTGTAGCCTAATTTGCATATGCACTGGACGTCTCCGAACACTTCTCTGCAGCCCACTGCAAAACTGCAGGACGGACAGTGACATTAAGAATGACCATTTTAATCACAGCACAGCTGTTCAGCAGTCTGTTGGTCTTGATTGTTTTTTTTCACCCACCTGTTTGAGGCCAAACTGAAAGGACACGGACAAACCCTGCATGTCTTCTGGGCTGCATCTCCATAGTAACCTTCCTTGCAGCGTTCACATTTGTCCCCAGCCGTGTTGAACTGACAGTTCTGAAAAATAAATTAAATAAAATGAAAAAACTTGATGTATTTATTTTGCAAGACAGAATCAAGCAATCATTAAAACAGGAAGTAACTTGATGATAAGGAAAAGAAAGACAGCAGAACAAGGAGGCCAGAGGCTGAGGAGAAGGAGTCACTGTGGTGTCCTTTTACCACTGTGGGCGAGATTTAAACCAAAACACCCAATATTAGAAAAATTAATGTATCATTTACTATTTTTTTTATAAACGCACTGATTATAAAGCACTTTTTATTCTTAATTTTAAGATTACAAGCAAAGTACAAATACAAGGTAAAAGGTGCTTGTTAAAGACTAATAAAGGGCCATTCTGCATAAAATGAACCTTTGGGTGAGTAACAAAATGTGCATTCCCAGCAAATCTTTGTGCAGAAAAACCTTTCCCCCTGTCAAACCATCACTGATCGACTCTCTTCTCAGCAGCTTGTGTCCACTTGGCTTTGAGCAGCGAGGGTGTGGATTCACGCATGCATTGCACACACAGGCCTGGTCTTGAGTTTCTTGCACAATAACATAACAGAGATGGCTAAGATGTAGAAATGCATAGAGCACAGATAATACTAAAAAGAACAAACAAGCAGGGGGGCCTGCAACAGGAGGTCAGGACACTGTGTCAGATAGTGTCTCTAATCTGGGGACGGAAATAGAGAGAGGGAGTAACAACCAAAAGGAGCACGGCACAGTGACAGCTGGATCCTGAATAGCCATTCCTTGTTGATACTTGGGTTTGGGGTTGAGTGTATTTCTTACCAGGCACCTCCCTGTCCTGTCCTCACACTCATCAGCCCGGCCGTTGCACTCACAGGGCACGCAGAGGCCCAGGTAGAGCCCACTGCCGTCTCTGTAGAAACCTGGAGCACATTTCTGGAAAAACACAAATAAGGTGAATTGACTGGTTGGTTACCCAGCTATGGTAAATATAATCTGTTGTTGTTACTGTGATGACAGACTGAATATTTGGTTAGGAAGATGACTCTGAGGCGCTCCCTTCCTCAAGGAATGTGACAACAGGTTGCACAATATCAAAATTTGGCCTACTTTTTAAGCCCTGGGGGCTAGAGTGGAGCAGCAGTCGGTCACTTGCCAGGTACCGGAAAGCTGTTGGTTCAATTCCACCAAATCCTCAAATCCCAGGTTGGGTTGTTCAGGACGGACACCCAATGTGAAATCTCTGCTAAATGACTATTCAGACTACTGCTGTGATGATGAAGACACAAGCCAGACTGATAACCCCCCATCTACCCTGGCTGTGTGCTTCACCAGTGGCTAAGTGTTTTGGTCAGACTCCGTCAGTGTGTATCAACAGCCTCTCACAATAATGAAAGAGTAACATCTGTTTCTTTTGTGAAATAAATTAAAAATCTCAACAGTAAAATCGTTAAAATATTAAGATGTTATTGATATAACCTCATTGTAATGTAATGACATGACTGACTGATCGCTGTTCTGTTTCTATAACATAGGGCATTACAGTGATGTGATGTAAAACCATTTAAAAAATGGTATAAATATAATTTTTTTTAAATAGTTAATCACTGTACTTTAACAGCTTTGTAAAGTGTGAGTTCACACAGAAGTGAACTTCACCTAAACCTGGTATCATTAACAGTTAACACTACGTCAACACATGCCCTTCGCCCTCAGAGATAACATTCCTAAAGACGCCACCAGACAACATCAGAGAACTGAGGAAAACAGTCCAGTCAACAGCAACAACAAAATCTAATCTCTGTATTTTTTTTTTACCTGAACCTGAGAACTGTCACTGTCATCATTCAGCGAGGGAAACTGAACTATTTGCTCTCCGTCATTAACCCTGGGGTAGTGCACCGCCTGGTCATTTAATGATGGATAGACTATCCGCTGGGTCCATCTGTCATGGTGTCTGGGGTGACGAGGTCGCTCCCATCTCTCATATGGCCGATGACCGGCAGAGCTAAGTCCAATCAGGGTCCAACAAATCAGTGTCTTCAGCAGAACCGGTCCGTGCCGCCGCCCGTACAAATGCATGTCCAACAATCTTGACGTTGTTGGTTCTCGGAGAAATAAAACTCTGCCGTGCCCTGCCCGGCTTTCTTAAACACACACACACGCTCACGCACCCAAAGACGAGAGGACACGCCCCACTCTCACCTGAGTCAGAGCGAGTGGATCACTCAGAGTGTATGCAGGCACACAAGTACACACATGCTAGTGTTTGCATGCTTCCTATCTTTCCATTTTTTCTTGCTTCCATATTGTATTTCTCCACAAACATCCAGGAGGTGGAAATGTACACGAACTGTACCCTCAAACATACTGTTAGTACCTAGTTCTGTTTGGGAAAAACTACTACAGAGCCCTAATTAGCTCATGTTATAGTTTGCTTTTTCCTCTGTTTTATAGACAAAGGGACAAAGAAAATATTAATAATGTTATTATATTTTTTCATTTATGTTTACTGGCAAATTTCATTGTTGAGAGAGAATGGAGCCTTAGAACTATGTATTGAACTTTCCAATTGATCCAATTGATTGACTGGTCTGCCTGCAGTCCAGATCAATCATTCAAAATGTCCTCAGTATTGGAATGAGGAGAATGATACAATTAAAGAAAACAAATTCCTAAAGTTTATTTGGGAATTCTGTAAAAACTCAACATCAAGTATCTTCACTTTCCAAACACTTCAGATAAAGAGGCTGACACCTAGTGGTGTTTCTTCATTAGTCTGTTTTAGTCTGGCTCAAATCCCAGAAACTCTGAAACTAGAATTTGTTTTTTTATTCTTGTTTATTATCGTGCACAATCTTCGATTCTTCACACACGCCTAACAAGAAGCTGTGTGAGAATATTTGTCTTCTAAAAGGGTCATTCGGCTCAACTAGCTCACAGATTGAATAACTGAACAAGGTGTGGTCGCTGCCTGTAAAAGGTTTCTTTTTCAACACTACGCAGAAAAAAAAGAACAATCACTTTGGAAAGTCTGACTTCTGCGCACAACACAGACAAACTCACACCTGAATCACGCCGCTCAAACACCAATCAGACAGAACCCTGGGTGTGTCAGCCGTAGGTGCAGACACACACAGTCAGTTTTATGAGCAACACAGCGTTGCCAGATGCCACACCCGATGTGTCAAGGTGAGCAGTTTGTCCTTCTACTTCTGGGCATGTAAATCCGCCTTTTTATCAACACACGTACACACACCTGTACCTGTAAACTGTAAAAAGGACAGAATTTTATTACGTTTTAAGCTTTTTGCTGTTGTTTTTTGTTTCTTTTTGCCACCTCTCCCCCCACCCCCTGTTTCTGTGAGTCATGATCAAAACTATATAATCACTAATATCATGTCTGCGTGATTGTGTCTCACATCCTGGCCCCAGGCTACGCAATTTAGGCGCAGAGCTCACGTACATTCCACTCACGGCTCCTCAGCTGATTAACTTTCTTTTCTTTTTCTTCTAGGTGTGGCGCCCGGCTCAGGCGTGTCAGGGCACTCTAAAAATATGAGCCCCGAAGACAGGAGCTTCACTCATCACGGTGGCCAAGGCTGATTGTTATCTTCTGCCATTCTGACATCTAAGACACATTTTTCTATTTCGATTTGTCGGTTTCCCTTTCTCTAGCCATCAAGAAAAAGTCAACTGAAATGTTCCTGGAGAACAATGGAGCAATAAGCAATAAAATAAAAGTCATAGTGCAGTAAAAAAAATACAGATGATAATTTATGAGCTTGGTTTGACTACTTGGCTACGAAAAGCTAAATGTAAAACATAACACTTCCTCTGCAGAAACATACATGTAGACAATTCTTAACATTTTTTAATGACAAAAGTGTTTGAAAGGAAATCATCTGAGTAGCACTGGATAGTTTTAGACTGTGTCTGGGTCCAGAACCTGTGAAAACTCTTTTTTAAGGACGCTCCATCTTCAGAATCGTACAGACATGAATTTTTAGTAGTAAAATATAAAAACTATTAATTACTCTGACGCTGACTGCATCTCAGTGATTTCTTAACACAGCCTTAGCAACACAGAGTCGTCTTCATCACCTAACTGTAATTTTAGGAGATGGACATTATGATTATCATAGACTGTAGTGTCAGCAGCTTGATGAATGTGAGTCACATTAACACTGGACCTGAGTGAGTTCAACGCTGTGATTGCTACACAGAGTATGACAGACAGATGACGGATGGTAAATGAACTGTTTGGTATGTGTTTGTGCATGCTGTAGGTGATTAACCCTACGTACAGAAGGGAGGAGGAACAGGGTCCTCCCTAGCTCCACACATGAGTTTCCTCTGGGGAAAATGGATATGCTCTGATCACCCAGACCGCCCGAGTCTTAGAAATGGCTATAAAGTCAAACTAAGTGAATTAGTTACCTTGCGGCGCAGCATGCAAATTTGACTAGACAGACAAATACAAGCAAATACAATTTTTAACAAAAGCTGCTAAGTAGCTTCTTCACCTCATAGGTTCCTGTTCCTCCAGAACTGCTCATCACCATTCATATTTGCTGTGTTCTATCTACTAGATGGCAACACTGAGTCTGGATCTGCTGGAGATTTCTTCCTAAAGGGAGGCTTTTTTCTTTCCCCATCATTGCTAAAATGCTGACTCAGCGTCAGCAACATTATCCTTCCTCAGTGTGTCTTTTTATATATACATTTTTCTTCTTTTGGCTTTTAAACGTCTTACCTCACAGGAATCTCCGCTGTACTGCGGAGGGCAGGCACACTGCTCCACATTGTTCCCGGGACTTCCAGTTCCCGTGTCCGTCGCCTCCTCTAAGCCCACCTCCCCCAGACTAAGACGCTGGGTCTGGGTGAAGTACAAGGCTCTGATCCTCAGACCTGCCAGATTAGCTAAGACCTTCATCAGCTCCTCTCTGGACACTGGTTGGTTGGTGACGGCATGTCGCCAGTTTCCCTGGGAGTTAATACAGTGCCTTCAGTGAACATTTATTCAGATTTATTCTACCATGAAACTATGACTATAAAATATGATCAATGAACGTGGAGTTTACCTCCACCAAGTGGACACGTCCCTGGTACAGCTTGTCTGGATGCGGGACTTGTGGAGCCATGTGAATCAAGGTCATGTCCTGACCCTGAGTGGAAATGATTACAGGTATGAATAAACTGACGATAAGAAAAATACACCCATAACATCGGGAAAATAAGGGAGTTTACACACAGTCAGGATGACATCAGGTCGTCTGCCCATTAAAGTCATTCCTTCGCTGGGAATCCCAAAAGATTTGGTCTGAAAGGTCAGGTGTCCACCGTAGGATGAGACCTGAGGAAAACATTTTTTGGTGATTTTTGCTGATGGAACTCATCAACTCTCAAAATGTCATATAAAATTAACAAACTACATTTTTTAAACTTTCTTTTCCGACTAATCCTTAAACTCTAATGATACTCAGTCATGTTGCCATGATCTCCAACATTAGATTTTAATATTTATGATTTGTTTAATATTTTAACAGGTCTGCAAAGAAGCAGCCAAAGATATTTTTAAAATTGTTATTAATATAATATAATTATTTAAAATATTAATTTGATTCTTTTTATGTAAATTTAAATATTGATCTTTTCTTTTGTGTTTTTTCAAAAGTAACTTTTGGACTTTGGGTTGGGGGGCGGGGGGGTGTGGAGCCAATCCCTGTCCATTTAACACACCATACACTTAAACACAGCATGTGTGAGAATACTGGTGTTTTAGAGGCAGTGTTGTGTGTGAGTCTGACACATTATGGCAACTCCGGTGAAACATAAAAGTAAAAAAGTCTGAATTATGGTGAGGTTGAGGAGTACGAAAAGAGCAGGGGGTCATGAGTGATACCCATCCCTCCACCGACTCACCCTGTCTCCCAGGTAGGTCTGTGGTGCCACCCAGTGTAGAGTCTGCACCGTGGAAGGAAGCTCCTGGACGTCTGCCACCACTGTGCTACTGGCTGTGTTCAGCACAGAACGAAACTCCTCCCGGTCGGGTCTCTCCAAACGCCAACCCCTCATGTCGACAAACTAACAGCAGGGAACGCCGTTAAAGTGGAAAAAATACACCCTGCGCACCATTCTGTGCAATTTAAATATTTATGGCTATGTTTTTTTATGTGTTAGTTCTACAGAAAGAAACAAATGTTTCCCATAACATTTTCTCCATAAAAAATGCCACATGGCTGCAATTTGCCATGCCACTTTAGGTGCTGGAAAACACTAGAATCTGCAGCTTTAATTCAGAACGTAACATTTTACCACATACAGTTACTGCTATTAGTGCAGAGCTTTTGTAGGTGCAACAAAAGCCAAAGGCAACCACAGACAAGCAGAGGCAGGAAACGCAAAAACACACACACACACACCTTCCCCCTGCGTTTGCTTGAGCTCTGACACTGGTCAGTGGCCTTGAAGCAGAAGCAGCTGGTACAGCCGTGAGGGTTGGACGGGTCAAAGAAGAAGGAACCCTGCCGACAGGTGTCACACCTGACACCAGCAACATTCATCTACAAACATGGCAGCCACAACAGAAGAACCAGGAGAGGGGGTCAGAGAGCAGGAAATGACTTTAACCAAATTGAGGAAAAAAGGAAGTTCAAGTTCAAAAGAAAGAAAAAAAAAAAAAGCTCACCTTGCAGAGGCACCTCCCTGTGTCCGGGTGACACACTTGAGGTGTAACACCACTTTGATTACACTTACAGGGGAGACAGTCGGGGAAACGGTAGAAACCAGCAGCACAGCGGTCACACTTGCGGCCACCGATCCTCGGTTTGCAGCTGCAGAAAACCACAGATCATGAGCGGAGAACAGGTTCCATCAATTTCTTAAATGTATTTACACTTAATTCACGATGTTGTTCTTTGTGCTGGTTAAATATTTCTTTTCTCACTGACACGTGGACCTACAGGAGAGACAAGCTGTATTTTAGCCTTTCAGAGCCCAGAACTAATCTGCACATCAGTCACTTTTGAGTGATGTGGTTTCAAGTTCCTGTTTACACAGTTCAAAGCTGCAGGCATCAAATTCCAGCCCTTTTTTTGTCCTTCATAAAACACTCCATGAAGGAGGAAATATTTGTTAGTAACTCACATACTAAAAATAAAAATGAGAACATGCATTGAAAAAATACAAATTACATTAGCATTAAAACTACACACCAGTCATCTCACTTCATTTCCTGAGCTATAACTATTAAACATCCACTAAATAAGCACTGAATCTGAAAGGGTACTAACGTGTGAAGACAACTCCATCTTACTGTTTTCCACTCACTTGCACTGTCCAGTGATGGGTTCACATTCTGGTCCGGCTCCGTCTCTGATGCCATCTGGAGAACACTCACAGCCCTCGCAGCCCAGCAGAGGATGAAAGTTAAAAGTCTGATTCTCACAGACCTCGCAGGTTGGTCTGACCGTCTGCGGTGGACAGATACACTGTCCGGTGACCTCGTCACACAGTCGCCGACCGCACTCACAGGCTGACGTGCAAAAAATAACAAATGAACAAATGTGATAAAAGAGAGAGAAAATATTAAAAACCACAAAATAGCAAAATAATGAAAGGAGAATTCAAGGAGAATTCAAGTTCAATTCTGCACAAAAACAGACAAAAATCCATAAACAAGTAAAAAGAGACAAAAGTCAAAGGACAAAAAGAAATGAAAAAAGGAAATGTAAAAAAGAAAAGAGAAAACATTCCCATAAATAAACATAAAAAACAAATCTAGAAGTAGAAAATAAAAGCAAAACAAATTAACATCAGGAATTTTTATAGCAAAAAACTGAAGTAAAAAGGTGAAAAAGCAAACTGCCAACACATTTTCCCTAAAAGGGAAGAGAAGGGAGTTGTGTTCAATGCGTTGCTGCCCCTCCAACAAATCAAAGCCTTTAATAATTATATCTATTCCTAACACCATTTTATTTCTAACATCTCGTTTCACATTTACTCACGTCTGCAGTGGGGAAAGCCGTAAAATCCGGTGGCACATTTAGTGCACCGTCGGCCAATGACGTGGTCCCTGCAGGGACACTGTCCTACGACAGGGTCACATGTGGACCCCGTGGACCCGGACGTGTCACAGTCACACTCCAAGGCTCCATTGTTGTAGGCTGCCACTAGGGAGCGAGCAGAGTCTCTGCAGAACCCGGAGGAAGTTCTCCAGCTGAAAAGAGAAGAAGAAAGAGGCACCATCTTCAATTAGTGATGTGGTTTATTAATAACACATTGTTACAGCTAGGGGGCACTGGTGCATCTGGGTAAGCATTACTAAAATGAATGCATGGGGATGATTTTCTTTTTATTAAGTAACCAGTGATTTGAAATAGTGAGTGTGGAGGTTGAACTAAAGGAGCAGATATGGAGGACGTACTCGATGTAGAACCCTTCTCCTCTACACAGCTGGATGAAATCTTCAGAATTATCCAGCGGCTTCTCTTTAAGCAGCTCCGGGGTGTAACTGTCGTCAGGAACCAGTAAGATGTAATCCTGAGGAGACAACAGATTAATTCAGGGGTAAAAACTCATCTTATCAGGTTGATGGAGGAAAATTAAAGCAGAGAGTAACAAAGCCCAAACCTGCCTCGGCTTCACAAAGGTTGGAGGCTAAGCTTTGATAAAGCTCTGTGTGGCTGCCAGACAGAATACAGGCCTCTCATTGTACTGTACTGTATAACCCTGAGGAGACTGGACTTCAGTACACCAAGTTCTCTACTAAGATTTCTTAGATAGCTAAACCAAATGCACATGATTCCACAAATTTACTTGTCTGTGATTTTTTTCCCCCCCAGAAATATTCTTTACTGACCAAAATAAGGGTTTTCCTGGGAGGTACAATCACAGAGATGGTCTGCGGCCGCCAAGAATTTTGGGCAAAGTCAAGAGCGATGCGTCCGTCAGCAACGACGACCTCCCTGCAGCCTGAGACTGCAGGGCAGAAGGATGCATTTATGGAACCTGGGAGAGGAAAGTGAGTAAGTAGGAGCGAAAGATGATGCAAAATCACACAGTTTATACATTAAGGTTCCAGTGACTGGCTGTTTCAGTGAAGACCTGCTGGTTTAATGATCCACTGACAGTGTAAATATTATCAGAAGAACATGAACTAAGAAACATTTACAGTGTATTTGATCAGACATGAGTCACTCACTCACCCCTCCAGTCGCGGCCTGTGTTTACTCTGACCTCCACAGGGAAGGAGGTATGTTCTGGCTGGTGGTAATGGATGACGACCACATACCTGCCTGGGAGTGGCACTCGAGGAGTGATCGTGATCTCTGTCTGCAGAAGGAAACAGAGAGCAGCGTAGAAGTGGAAAACAGAAATGAATGTCACTACAGAGGCCACTGCTGGCTACAGTAGGAAGTGCAAGGACACGTGATGATACCTGAGGGAATTTGAGGAGCACTCCGGCAGTTTGGGGTTCAACTCCAGACTGTCTTCTCTGTCTTGGTTCATCATTGTTTCCTCGCTGAGGAGCAGCAACTGGCGTAGATGACAGCAGTCCATCACGGGCGGCGTACAGAATCAAACCTTCTGCCGGTTTATCGAACTGCCTCGTCGTGCAATGTCGACTAAATGATGGGCAAAAACAAACAAAGTGATTCATCTCCAGCTTTGAGAGAACAGCGTAGAACATTATCTTTAAGCTTCTTGGTAAACACATATAACACGACACAATAACACACACATACCTGAAACCACTCTGATTATTGTTATTAGTGATAATATATATTTGTGTGAGTAAAGGTGAAAGTTTGACCCTTAGTCGAAACTTTCATCACACCTGGTAAAAAAAAAGCAGATGTTTTTCAAAACAACGTCACTTGACACCGACAGTAACTTGTGTCACGTTAGCGTCGTCTAAATCACAGCCTGTACTGACAGGTGCTGTAAAAAACTCCTGTTTGACACAAATACCAATCATAGGTGTCTTACCTGTCCTCTGTGAAGCGTCCGTGTTTGGACACACACAGCACCCTGGGTTTGACATGGTCCATGGAGAACTCCTCGGCAGGCACTGCGTAAACTTTGTACTAGGAGGAGAAACAGTTCCATGTCAGGGACGAGGTTTCGGTTGGATTCAAAAGCGGCATTATTTTGGCGACGCCTGTTTCTCTCACCAGCAGGAAAGAAGTGGTGGATGTCAGCAGCAGGATCTCCGTCCTGTGTGAGAGCTGTAACACTGCCACTTGGTTGCTGCTGTCCACGGCCACGCTCCGACACAAAAAACTACAGAGAGGAACACACCTTAAAGTTCAGTTTTAAATCCTCTGTTGAACAGCCAGGGTTCACTTTCTATGGCTTTTTCCTCTGAGCTCAACCTTTCATTGAAAGACGTACCTGTAGGCACAGCTATAAATATTAGCCCTGGCCGGGATGTGACCGTCCTGCTGGCCGCTGATGAGAACGTTGACATTCTGGACAGCGTCAGTCTCACTGGCGTACTCCAGGACAAGGGCATAGGAGCCAGAGTGAGGCAAACGCAAACTGAGCTGAAGCTGAGACTGGAGGCCAGAAAAAGACAATATATATTATATAAACATATATAACAGTTACCCAATACCCAATTCTTCAGCTAACAGCAAATACAATGGCTGAGTGTGTTAGTTTCTCATGTGTATGTATCTATCCCAGGGTAGCAGTCAGCCCTCACATATTTTGAAATAACAGACTGTCCTAAACAAACTTTAGGCGGCCATGTTCTCAGCCAAACAGCCAGTCGATACCTTCTTCCATTTTATCCTGCAAATTTAACAAAACCTCCCGCTGAATCCAATAATAGCTAGCTAAGTCTTTGCATTGTTAATGCACTTAGTCATGGCTGCCCACCTGTCTGCCACTGAGGGCAGCCATCTCGGGGTGATCTGGGGTGGGACGCGACACGCGGGCCTGCCGCCTCCTGCGTCCAGAGCGGCTGGTGAGTCTTCCCTCTCGGCCCAGGACTGAGCTAAAACCATCCATGGTCACATGCTTGTACAACAGACAGCTGAGGCAGAGACACAGACAAAGCCAGAGTCAGCAAGAGACGCTGCGAGATTATTCCATCATCGTCCTTTTTTTAGCCTGTGCCGAAGCTTCAGCTGAGGCTGACATGTTTACAGTTTAATGCAAAGGATCCTGGGTAATTTGTCACAGTGATTTATCGTCCTTCTCACTGGCTGTCATCCACTTGATGCCTTTAAACCACCTGCACATTTCCGACACAGAAATAAAACCCTCATCCTTATATTGGACAAACTGATGTAAGTTCACTTTCAATTGGAGTTGAACCATGAAGTAATGAACTGACAGAAGGAAAAGAAGAGTAAATGGATGAAAGGCTCTGAAATAAAACCATTTTTGAAGAGTTAAATAATTTGAAGAGTTACTTTGTGTTCCTGTTTGCTGCGGGCAGGTACGTGCAGGGCTGCGTGACTTTCTCCTGCAGCAGAGGAGCTTCGTAGTATTCTCTGGGCAGCAGCACTAAGTAGTCCTGAGTGAGTGAGAGAGTCGTGTTAGTGCTGAGTCCCTGAGAAAATAAACTATTTTTCACAATCATATTTTCCCCCCAACCCTCCCTGAACTACACACACCAGCAGTACGCCCTCCGCCTTTATGTGAATGATCCATTTCCCAGGAGTCAGAGCAAACGGCTCGGCAAATCCGTCTCCCGGGACCGTGAGGAAGGATGGGGAGCGGCTCTCGGGGAATATTACTTCCTTACTCTGTTCTGCCCCTGTGGAGAACAAACACTGAATGTACACATCTCTACGCGCTCTGAGGAATTAAAACACCGCCTCGAAGCAACTCCAGGAGGTTTTTCACACAGCAAGTTCAGCTGGAAATAAACTCCTGCATTAGTTTTAGACAAAGACAGATTTAATTCCTATTAAAGTTCATTCTACTCTTTATGAAGTTATATGAAAATACTGTAGCCGTTTCATAAGTGAATACACTAATTAAATATTTCCTTGTACTTTATGCTACTTTAAAACCAAGTAACGACTGTATCTTTAATGGAAATGATGGTGTTTTTTTAACATGATGGATTAGTTTTGACATTTTGATTGGATATCAAAGCTGATTGGTCGTCACAAGCAGCCTTACCTGCAGCACCTCTGGTATTAGTAGCCTTGATGCTACCAGCCACAGCAGCACTGTGTGGGTTAATGAATCTCAGAACCACGCGGTATAAGTACTGGCTCCCGTCTTTGGGGTCAACATGCACAGCTACTCTGACTTCACTCTGCAGGGATGAGAGCGACACACACACACACACAGCTGACGGCTACGGCTGACAGGTTTATGTTGGCAGTGAGGTGTAATTTTAACCGAGAAGTTAAAAACATGTCCAGTGAGCGGAGGAGTTAAGCAAACAGTGGTGGTTAACGAGCAGACGGCAGAAGTGAGGTGAGGGGAGGGAAAGACAGAAAGACAGGTAGACAGGAAGACAGGAAGACAGGAAGACAGCCCCCTTCACTTACAGTCACAGCAAGACTGAGAGCCAGCTTCGTCCACCACCAAGATCCTCGCTCTCACTCGCTTTGGCCCCTTTTGTTTGGGGGTGGCGTAGTGCATTACAATGTGGAAAGGGCCAGGAAAGCCAAGGGTAAGAGTGAGGATCACCTCTGGCTGAGGAGAGATATGGTCAGGTGTATTTACACTCAGAGGTTTGTGTGAAATAGGCAGCAAAATCAGTGAAAGGCTGAAAAAAGCAGGTGAACCACAGAGGTGAAAAAGAAGCCTTTAAAAATGTCATTTACCGCAAAACTGATTTCAGTGTATTTCAGTGCAATACAGGAAGAACTTGGGCAAATATTAACCTGAGCAGGCGACATCACAGCGTATCCTCTCCAGCTGAAGTCTGGAAACTCCCCAGGGTTAAAACCAAAGCGCACAGGTCTGGCGTTTGGTGTGGTGCCGTCCTCCACTTCAAACTTCAGGTGATGTAAAGTAGGAAAGTAGTAGTTTGGTGCCGGCCTGACGAGGTGAACAGAATTGTCATACGGCAAATGAAAAAAATAAATAAATAAAAAAAAAGAAACACAATATATAGATAAAAGAAATGCCCATGACTTACTCTGTGCATTTAACGCCCACTACATTCTTCCGACACCAACACTGCCCTGTGTTCTCGTCACAGTCCATGCTCACAGCGCCACCAACGTCACAGTGACAGCCTGAAGGAATGAGGAAAAAACAAGAAAATAAACTTTGTTTTAATCAACCAATGATAATTATTAATTTTCATTACACAAAATCTAGAGGTTGGGAGGGAGGTAATAGAGAGTACAGAGTCATGCATCATTTATTTTTAGATGGAATTTCAACTGAAACCAGAGTTTGTTTGTTTTAATTATACCATAGTTAAAAAAATGAGAATCAGGAGGAGAAAGGCAATCTTTTTTTTAATATGTTTATATGTCATTCCACATCTCAGTCTCAAATATAATGTTTTCCCATGTCCTTATATGAGGGGGTGCACAGTGAGTTGATTGGGATCCACCAGTTGATCCCTGAGGGAGTGCTGAGAGATCATGAGAAATTAAAATGAAAAAATGAAGAGATAAATATATCTCTTTAGTGTGTAGTAGTGACCATATACTGTAAGGATGAATTACATGCATAGTCAAATGCAAAAAATTGAAGTAGTTGTGAATAACCTGTAATTATGATGGATTTTGTTCATATGACCTTACCCTGACAACCAAAATAGTCCTTTTTCTGCAGCAGGAAGTGTCCGTCCTTACACGTGTCACATGACAGTCCACATGCATTGGGCTTACAGTGACACTGTCCGCTTCTCTGGAGAATAAAAGCAGCATTAAACCAGTAAACCGGCAGAATAAATACTGGTGGAACTGCTTCCATAGTAAGAAACCCACCTGTGCACACTCTCCAACGCCACTCAGTGTTCCTTTCAAATCACACCGACACTCTGTTATGGTAGAGAGAACAAAAAGAAAGAGAGGGCGAAGAGGGTTATGAAAAGGTAAAAAGCAGGATCTGGAGTGAATAGACTCTGATTACAGGATTTTGTCACTTCCAAAGGTGAAGCACAAAAGCACAAAACGGCGCAATCTTTGAAGATCTGCACACATCAAAGGTGCAGGACGGCTGGACTGCTTTGGTTCGCTTTGAATTCTTTATAAAGTCCAGTCACTACAGACCGGTGACATTCTTAGCTCAATTAAAGCTCATTTTTCTGGTGTCTTCAGGCCGTGAGGTTGCGATAACATTCTTGCAGCACCACAGCGTAACTGTAACTTTAGACACGTCCGTACACAAAGCCTGATATTCAGTGGTCGAAGGTGACTTCAGGCTTTTCCAGCAGTTATTTGTGGGTGTTGCACGGGTAGGTGGATAAAATGAGAGAGTGTAAAAGGAAATGATTGGTACATTTCATGACTTAATGTAACCAGACACTGCTGTGTCACCACATCAACCTCAGGTTTGAGCCACAGACGGAAGTGTGGAGGAAGTAGCTGCGCTTTGAGGGACAGGAAGGCAGCGGATCCAGCCATGTTGATGGGGGCATGATGACATATCCTCAGAGTTTGTGGGGCCAACATCAGCTCAGATTGCCACCAATGAAATCATTCATTTAGTAAAAGATGGGTCAGTAAGCCGCCCACTCCCAAAGAAAACAACCAGACCTCCTACTCACTTCCTGCACATTTAAGTGAACATCGTCTTCGTTACACTCACCTACGCAGCCTCGAGGATTCTCTGCAGCCAGGTTCCAGTACAGAGGTTTACACCTGTTGCACAGGGTTCCCTCCACATTGGGCAGACATTGACACGAGCCCTGGACCATCAGATAAAGAACAAAAGGTGGAGATTGAGAATAAAAAAATAAAACAAATCTTATCTTTTAGATCAGGAAAGAAACACATCACATTGTTTTTCTTCCTTTTTAAAATGGAAGGAAGTCTCTTTTCCTTTTTTTGATTATATTTATTTTTCCAGTGATGGGCGACATTTCCTTGTAAAAAAAAGGCGAAGAACTGGACTCCTGTTGTGGCAGCTTTCCAAACTTTTTTTAAACATTTTTTTAAACTGATGAAAACCAATTGAAGTATTTTGGGGATTCATTCACTCAGTTATTTTGACCAAAACGTCTGCAATTAATTAATGACTTAAACTTCACATCTTCAACATCTACAACAGATTTAAAATCTATAAATATATAAAATTAATTCATTTGGGTGCAGAAGTAGATTTAAACATGTGTCATTTTAAGGTAAAAAAAACAAGTATTTGTTTTTTTCTAGCTTTGTTTTTCTTTTTTTTTTTTTAATCTCAGACATAAATCAACACATTTAGGTTTGCTATAAATCTTCAGTAAAAACCTGAAAGTTTAATGAGCAAATTCATTGTCGAACCCACAAAAAATCTCCTGTGACCCATTTGTGGGTCCCAACCCACAGAAGGTATTTTTGGAGACACTGCGCTGAAGACTGCTGGTAAATCTGCACTGTTGGAATGTAATTAAAATTTAACAATTCAACTTTTACTCCGAGCGTCGTACCGTTTCAGGATTGGCAACCTCAGTCCCTGGAGAATAACACTGAACAATGGAGGCTGGAAATAGGAAAAAGAAAGATATATCAGTTTTATCAGTGGTCAATAATAATTTTTATTAAAACTTTTTTTAACAGCAAATGAGGTTAAAATCTCTTTTAAAAGTTTGTCCTGGTGAAGCTGGGTAACAAGAGTTTCATATTAAAAAAAACTACAAAATCAATTTTACCAATAAATACCTCAATACATGGACGAAACAGATTAAAGTTTAATTATGACAGGCCATTGTCTCAATCCCTAATCTCATTCTGTGGCTCAGTGTAGTCACCTGCACACTGTGGAAACCTCTGACCAGAGGCACAGCGGTCACACTGCTGTCCCACAACCCCTTGCAGACACAGGCACTGACCAGACAAGGGGTTGCATATGTTGCCATGGGAACCTTCAGGAGAACATCTGCAGGCTGAGAAGAAGAGACAAATGTAAGTCTGTGGTGTTGATAAAAGTTATGTTGGTTTTTTTTTATGAAGACCAAGAATATAGTTCCTTAAATGGAAGAAATCTAAGAATAACATCTTGTTGATTTTTTTATTTCTGTGAAGTGCCCTGTGATGCAGATTTGTTGCAAAGGGATTTTAATGGATTCTCTAGTATGGGAGAGTGAGAATGTCGTCCAGCAGAGTCATGAGAACAGACCACCGTTAGTCCAGTCGAACCATTGTGGACATTTTTTCCACGCTGCTCACAAGAGCACAACTATTTTTGACAACAATAATTACGTCAGTAATACTGAAGGATCAGTGAAGGAACACTAACCAGCACAATCTGGATAGCCGTAGTAGCCTGGTGCACATTCATCACACTCCTGCCCCCTGTAGCTGGCCAGACAAACACACTGACCCCCTGAAGTGCAGACGCTGTCGGACACACCGGACCCATCGCAGCGACACGCTGGGAAAAAAAAAATTATCAGATCAGAAGTTCAACAGCCTAAAGTTGACCCCCAAAAGGTCAACGGCGTGCTGCACTGCACTTCACGCTCATGTAATCATTTTGATGAGGTTGTGTTTGCGTGTGTGAGTCTGTGCGGGGATCAAGGCTGATTAGGAGAGGCTGTTTTCACCTTCGCAGTTCGGGAACGAGTGGTATCCAGGTCGACAGCGGTCACAGCGTTGCCCCTCTACGCCTTCACGGCACAGGCATCGTCCAGAAGAGTCACACACGGCGTATGTTGTACCTCTGTAGTCACACACACATGCTGTAAAAAAAAAAACACACACACAAATTATATGTACAACAGAATTATCTATGATTAAAATAGATTAAACTAGATTTTATTTTGAGAAGGCCACCAGAGAGGCTCTCAGTTTCTTTGAAGCAGCTATGGGATTTCTTAAAAATGTAATAATAATTAACTTTTTTTTTCTCTCATAAATCGGAACTTTGAAGCTTTTTGACAGACATGTGTGAGAACTGTGTAATATCTGTGTGACCTAACAGCCCAGGCCTGTGATTGGTCTGAATTTAAACAGATTTCTGAGCTTGGATCAAACCAGAAAAGGGAATTTATGGAGCTATAACTAATAATAGAGCAGCTCTCAGTCAACAGTCCCAATTCACTCATGCTATTACAGAAGGAAAAGGACATTCTTGACCGAAAGCTCTCACAGATGAACGAGGAGATGAATGAGTATCAGAGCAGGGCCGTATATGACAAGTTGTCACGGAGTACAAGGTTGAACTATTTCAAATATTTATTGTGCTGTAAATTTAACAACCCTTTAAACAGTCTGATGAATTTTACAGGCAGACAGGACTTATTTTTCTGATGAATTTTACAGGCAGACAGGACTGTAAAATTCAGCCGTGAACATCTTTAAAAAAATCACAGCTATCAGATTTGAAAAGTCAAAATAAATAGCACTCACGTTGACAGGTGGGTGAACCAAAATAACCTGGAGGGCAAAGAGTAGGCACTGTACAAAGAGAAAGAGAATAGGATTAGACTGTTATTGTACAGCAGGGGTCTCAAAGTGTCCAATTAGTTTATTACTGAAAATGTAGTTTTGGACCAGAGGTGGGTGTTTCACTGGCTAAAAGTGCCAGTAGTTGGAGACCACCTGTTTTGTAGTTTTAAAATAAAACGACAGGATATGGTGAACTTACCCACAATAGGACCAGCAGAGGATTTGGTGGTTGTTGGATACAAAGGATATCCTGTTAGAAGGAGACAGACCCAGAGTTAGGACTGAAGTTAGGACTGAGTATGTCAACAATTATCCTCGACCACAAACTTAGGTAATTTTAGACAAAAGAGTTTATGCTATAATTTGATTTTTAAAAAAAGGGTATTTTATCAAATTCCATTTTATCATTTTATAAACCAAGGACACATTGATTGATGGGAAGATATTACCAAACACTCCAGCAGTTTAAAACCACGACGACTTATTTTAAATCACTTCATGATTGGTAGACCAATCTGAAATAAACCAGGGTAAAACCGTACCTAGCCTCCAAATATTTTCATCTTGAAAACCGTACCTAGCCTCCAAATATTTTCCCAACATCTTGATGTATTTTGTGACGACTACCTCCTGAGACCTATTTCTAACCCTATGCTCATTGATCGTCAGCCAAGACGTTGTGTAATACGACATATTTTATTCTCTCCTTACATGTCTTTACAGTATTTGAATATTACAAAAAGACACCGACTAAGATAAGGTTCACCTTAACATTAATCACATCTGTGGAATTCACTTTTGACTGACTTTTCAGATGTAATCAGGCCAGAATGTTATGGTGTTTCCTAAAATATAATATTATATTAATATTCTAAGTTATAGACTGTGTTAACTTTTATGCCTTGTAACAATATACACAATATAAGCTCATCTACGCAGAGAGGTAAATGCCTTGTAGGAGAACTCTGCACAAACGAGCAGGATAACGTTCTGCTGTTACTCACACAGATTATGTCTGTAATTTACCAGTTTACCAGGCTCCCGTGGGATTAAACTGAACAAACACCGGTTGCTCAAGAGCTGCGCACACCGCTGTAGGTGTCGTGCAGCCTCATGACTCAATTTGTCTAATTTATGTTTCTCCTCCATGTTGCGACTATTACCTTACATCACTCGGCAATTACCACTTTCCCACAAGTTCACCGCACGTTTTTTTGCAACAGACGTTCTTACCGACACACACACACACACACACACATAAAAACCGTTGTAGAAATGTAATACTGTGACACAGAAAGGCAATGAAGCTACTCCTGAAACGCAGACAGAGTATGAAGAATAGTCTGTGTCTACATGTTCAGACCAGTTTATCAGTCCATTAGAAAGGAGGTGAGACCTACATTTAATAAGAGCTGGGACTAATAAATCTGCTGCTCATGGAAAAAAGGCTAAGTCTGGACACATCCAAAAATAAAATGGACATTATGTAACATAAGAATCAGAAAACCTGGCAAATGTCTGCCTGTTCCAGATATGTGTAACGACCCTATAAAACCTGCATTCGTTTATTTGGCCTTTACTGCAAGATACTTTGGAGAAAAACAAAGTAAAGTAAAGTCCTTTTAGGTACAGTTTAAAGAGAAACAGGGAATGTCAGTTAAATATTTACGAACCACAGAAGTTAATGTTGAAGCCTGTAACGTGACAATGAGGCAAGAGTTTGAAAAAAAAAACATAAATAAAAAAACAAGACCATAAAATATTTAACCGTGGGTGGCTCGTCTCCCTGCAGCCTCCTGAGTCACATCATAATGAGATGCCGTGGTGAAACTCCTTAAGTGTCCTATATCTGCACACTTGTTTGCAAAGGCTGGTATGTGGAATGTGTGGTGATAATTAGTCCACACTGTAGCATGTGAAGACAACCTCCTGCGCTAAAGCCCTGCGTCTTTCAAATGAGCCTACTTTAAAAAAAAAGGTGCCCTGCGGGGGGAAACTGACAGGAGCATAAAAGGCTCCAGAAAATAGAGAAACTGATTCCACCCTTCAAAGGGTGGCTGAAACGTGAGTTTCTTCAAACCCCACGTACAGTATTTCCTCGCGTCTGACCACATGATAGCTCTTCCATTACATCAGGAATTCAAAAGTAGAACACATAATACCTGTTTATGTTATGTTGAAGCAATCGAAGCTGTGTTTTGTGTGTTTAAATCACAGCATACATCAGTTCATGATACTCACCCCAACACATAGTCATTACATCTCATGTGGATTCACAGTTTCAGGTGAATTTTAAATGCACATACTGGAAGATTTATCCAAATCATGACTCACGGTTGCACAGTGGGTAGTGATAATATCCGTTTGCACAGTGATCACAGTTCTCTCCGGCAAACTGCGGTTTGCAGATACACCTTCCAGAGCCCATCTCACACCCGGCCGTCGTCCTGTCATCACACCTGCAGGCTGCAGTGAAGACAGAATGAAAGTGGATAAATATGGACACGCACTGTATGAACAGACATGTCAGTGTGTAGAATGGGTTTACAGTAAACATGTCAACCAAGCCGATAATTATTAGCTGTAGAGGAGAGCTGTGTTTGCGTATGACAGAGAATCTCATCAAACAATGGTTGAACCATTAATCATCCTCATGAGATCGCCCTGAAGGAAAACACAATTATTATGGTTCAACCTTTAATAGAGTAAAAAAAAATAACATCTTCCGCTGCTAATCTCAACTAACACAGTTTACGGATTGTGGGGTTTTATTGTTCAAAGTGCTCAGTTTAATGCCGTGACTTGCTACTGTCCAAACTCAACACACAGCTATTTGTGTGGTGAGGTACAGCACTGGGCCTCTGAAGTAATGTAAACAGCAGCAGAGCCCGGATTAGCCTCAGTACGAATGTGGTGCCAGTGACGGCTTGATGGAGACATTTGTGCCCGTCTCAAAAAGAGAGGCTGAGGGGCGCTTTGGGTTAAGCACTGTTATGGCTACATGTGTTAGTCATACACACTGTAGCATCAAGTACCTGTGTGATGATGCTGACACTTATTTTAGTGACTTCAGCTCATTGGCTAAACATTCAAATATTCAGTCCACCACTCAATCAATGGTAATATATATCAAGTTTTAGAATGCATTCTTATGCACAATATAGACCAAGGTCACATCATACATATTGATAAATGTAATAATGCCATGAAAGTATACTAATAAAACTGACAGTTTGCCTGTTCAGGGGCATTTCTGTTCCTCTCTCCCTCTCTATCTTTCTATTCTTAATGAACAACAAATTAGCAAACACACAGTAGGGAGAAACTTTATTTGGTTCATTGATGTCATATATTTTCAGATGAGTAATAAAAGACTGTTTGGTCAAGAACGCCTGAGGTCAGTTCAAATCAACAGTTCAAACAATTCAGTGGAAAAGACAGAAACCAGGTGTGTGAGGATCAAATGCAAAAAGTTTATTCACACGCCAACTTTAATAATCCAACTTACTGGACTCCAGGACCCAACAACATGCGGGTAAAAAAAACAGGAACAGTCAGCAGCACAGAGGAGCGACAAGACTAAACAACGATCCTGACAATGACAGAGTGAAGGGCACCAGGTGACAGGAGTGAGACTAACGACCAGGCCACAGGTGAGTGTGATGACACTGATTAACAAAGACAAACAGACTGGAGGGAAAGGAGACAGACAGAGCCCACACACACACACACACACACACACACACGCCTCTTCTAACATTTTCAAGAGCACGTAATGTGCAGTTAGTCATACAGTGTGTGTGTCTTTGCTAGTGACAAGCTGACTCACGTATGCATCCAGTGGGAGCCTCAGCTGGTACTCCATGCGGTCTGTAGAAGCCGTCAAGGCACCGCTCACAGTTCACTCCAGCAGTGTTGTGCTGAAGAACACAGGGTGGAAAAAGACACACAAAAATCACACAGGAATTTGTTTGACTGTATGTAACAGTAGTGCAGTAGTAGTAGAAAGATGGACATGCACTGCAACTGTAATTAAACTACTGTGTGGAATTGGGTGGAGGCAAAGTATCTCTATCACTCCTGGTGGTCGACTGTGGTATCAGTGATAGGAGGCTGACTGATGAAGGCTAAAAATGCCTTTAGTTTTGTAAAAAATAAATAAATAAATAAAATCATATAATAATGTTAGACAATTGTGATTTTATTTTATTTTATTTAAATGTGTGGTGCCCAAATTCTGGCCCTCTGTTACCTGATTCAGGCGTTTTTAGATGATGTCACCTTTTTAAATGAAATAATTCCATGTAAAACTAAATAGTAAAATGAAAAAAACACTGCAAATGACTGACAGCTGTCTTATTGTGATTATTATTTTGTCTGTGTTTTTATATATATATAAAAATGCATAAAAACTATATTTAATTCCATGGCTTCAGGTTACTTAATAGAAACGTTTTAGTCCAAGGTACACAAGAAGTCAGCAGTTTAGCATGCAGTGATCCGGGGAGAGCTCCAAGAAAATACACATGCAACCAATTCATCCATACAACCGCCAACATGCAAACACACAGGAATCAGTTCGGACTTGATATGCATTTCTTACCTGGCAGCCGATGCACACTCCCCCTCCGTCATACCTGCCGTAGGTGTCTAAACTTGCTCCTCTCCTCTCCACCTCTGGGTCATAATAACAGTCAAATGCATGGGAGAAGCACTGGCAGGCTGAAGAAGAGAAACACACACACGACAAAAGATTATTCTATACGTCTCGGCAGAGTGCCCCGGCACTCCTCTGTGTGTACTAGCGCTTTTGCCAAAACAAAATTATAAGACTAGCAGTAAAGGATTATTAGAAACCATAAAATCCAAACTACACAAGATGGCACATCCTCTTCCTGTGTACCACCCCAGTGTCTCTTTAATGTTTATGGTTAGGATGTATTTACTGTGTCAGCCCTGATTGGATTAGTCCACATTAGTCTTGGTCGTCTTCGTTTTTTTCTTCTTTGCTTTTTTTTTTTACAGTGTGCTACAAGGTCGTGCAATTTCACGGAGGCAGCAGTCCAAAGCATTTAGATTCCAGCTGACACAGAGTCTGCTGGCAGACTGTGTGGCTCGTTGATAAGCTGGCACGGGGGAATCCCTCTTGTTCCCAGCCTGGATGGCTAACCAAGCAGCTGGCTGCCCAGAAAACAGCCGTCCCGAGGAGGCTCGCTCACAGCCTGGTCCATTTCACATTCCATAGGGAACTCTGGATCAAGGCTCTGCACAATTCCATTTCAAGGGATCCACAAAAGGTGAGAGTCAACAGAGAGGGCGATTCTGTCCGCAGTCAGGGCTCATAACTCAGACAGTGAGCAGAAGTGGAAGCAGCGCTGTGAGAGTTTGTTTAAAACTAAACATAAAACACTCTTCGTGCACACTTACGCTGACACTCGTTGGGGCTACTGACAGTAGCGGCACGCCAGGGCTTCTGGTTGAAACCTGGGCAGCAGCGGTCACATGACTCACCACAGGTGTTGTGTTGGCAATCGCACTGGCGCCTAAAGGCAAGACATAAAACACAAGGGTTTTGCAACAATGTTATCATTATGATATTACATTTTTTGAATATTTGGACTTTAATTAAGTGATCATTTCAATTGATTTTTACAATTAGGAACAACAAACTGAAACCTTCGATTCAGCAGCCAATACAACCTCAGCATACATTTGGATTCATTATGTCTGTATATTATACTTTTTATTCTAACAGCTCCAGTGACAGGTACAGCAGGAGGTGAACTAGTGTTGTGTCTTAAAGCAGAACAGCAGAAAAAAGCCACATTTTATCTTTTTTTTTTTAAATAAAAGTAAAACAGATGCAGGTATTTATAAATAGCACAGAGACTTTGTTGATGTTCACCCGTCTTTTGGCAAGTATACATTTTAGATGTAAAACACTGCATTTTGTGTCTGAAAAATATGCTGATGAGAGGCTTAGGACAAAACAAAAACAGCAAAAGCCAGAGACACCTGGAAAACAGTGTTATGATGAAAGTGAAAAATTAAAATAGACAATGAGTTTCATTAGAGAAGACTAGAAATCTAGAGATAAGGACTTTAATCAACAGGAAGTTATTTATTGATGTAATAAATTAAATATGTGTCTAAAACTAAAAAATCAATTATTCTGGTCCACTTTATGGCTGCCTCCGTATCTTAAAGTCTGTTCCTCATCATATCACCAGCTGTAGTTGTACATTATTATAACCAGGAGAATACTTTTCATTAAAGTCTAGTGAAAAAGCTTGAACGCTGAATGAATAACAATTACAGGGTTGAGTAGCAATATAGTGATGATGAAACATTTGCTGATGATCAATGACATATTTCTCACCTGTTTGGGTTGTCTGGGTTACGCCCTCCCCCACAAACCAGTGCATGTCCGTGACACACGCAGCGTCCACCTATGCTGATGTCTTTGATGCTATAATAGTACTGTCGACAGATGGAGAAAACGTTATCATCACCAGGGGTATTTTAACGTAACAGCAGCCTTATCGGCAACTTAACAACACGCCATCTCAAACCAAAACAGTTGTCTGACTATGCTTGGCAGGCAGAGGAAAGACAGGTACAGTAACAAGTAGTAACTCATTCTGTGAGCCACAAGCTTTGTCTAGCTTTCATGGGGTGAATCAAGGCATTATAAAAACAAAACGTAAGAAGATCACAGCTGTGGATCTGAGGACACATTTCTCAGGAAAAACAAAAGACATTGATACAAAAGGGCATTGATACATTGATACAGCATAGGTGGATGTGATAATCCTGAACCATCCTGTACCCTAAGATCTGTGTTCTATCCACGCTCCTAACCAGTGCTTATTTACTACTTGTGTAAATGTTGTTCGGCTTTAAGAGCTGCATCTCTGTGATGACAGGACAGGTAGATCTGTCGTCTGATATTCACAAGCACAAAGTGCAAATGACTGTACAAATGACGGCCTGCTTGTTTGTGTTTTTTTCCCAAATGGGAAACTACAGTCTGCCATCATCCTTGTCACCTCATTGTTAAATCTTGCTGTACGTGACTCACCCTGCGTGTAACGGTGGGGTCTCGCTGAGCCTTGGAGATGAGGTGGCCCAGCAGGGTGCTGGTGCGGAGGAAACGCAGACGGATGTTAGTGGCCTTAGTGAAATCTCTCAGCACCGGAGAGTAGGTGAAGTTTTTAGAGCCCGGTCGACCGTTGACCAGAGAGATCACAATCTGGATCAAATTGTATTTATGTCACATGGATTTCTGTTCAACAAAATAACACAAACGTGGTTTGGTTCATACAAGACGGAATGTGTGAATCTTCACCTCTCCGTTTTCCAAAGGCAGGATCCGGGAGTAGTCTGTGGTGCAGATCTGGTCATTGTCATTTAATATACGAGCATTGGGCTGCTTCCCAAACCTTTCAATACACTCATGCTTGGAATCTGAAAAAGTGTGACATCAAAATATGTATTTTTCTTTCTTTCTTCCACCAGGAGTGTCTAAAACTAAACCAATATATCAACAACCACAGATTAGGAATTACAGTGATTTGTACACACAGGTGTCTCTTCTATTGAGCAAACAGGTTATTAAACTAGGATTTAACGTTGGTCAATACATAAAATTCACTCTGTTATAATTACAATGGGACATTATTTACTGCAGACATGTTGACTTGTCTTGGCACGGTTGTAATTAATAATAATATTAGCTGCATTTTGTTAGCTCTCTGTGTGTGTGTGTGTGTGTGGGTTCCAAGCCTGCAAACCTGAATTGTTGGCACAGTGTTGTTGCAGGATCATAAATTAATATGAAGAGTAACAATGTTCTATTTATAAAATATAAATAAGAACTATTATTATAGCGCTAACTATTACTTAATACTAGATAATCCTTTCATTTCTTAATTATGTACCCAACAAAATCATAAACTATCATGACTGTTGCGCTAATCATTAAGGGTTCTGTGTTATTTTTAGATACATAAGGGCTGAGAAAACACCATGATATTTATTGATTTAAAATAGTTGAACTCACGTGCAAAATACTGCCATGGTATATATGTCCTGCCGTTGTCCACGGAGTGCTCTAACACCCACAGGTCAGGGCGAGGTGAATTAGCAAATTTGATGAGGACGTAAGCCACGTGAAAGAGCTGCAAAAAAAAAACAAAGTAAAAATGTAACATTTTGGGTAACATTTTAGGAAGTTTAAGATTTGGAATTTAAACTAGTAGGCTGCAAAAAATCAATTTGTTATATAGCTAAAATAGCTCTGCAGCACCTAAGGAGCGCATGCCCCCCAATTTGGGAACCATTGACCTCAATTATTATTTTCAAAATGTTGCTTCTCTTTTAAACTGATCCCAAACCTGCAGCCCGTACTTTAGAGGTTATGTTACTGAAATGAAAGTGAAAACCTGCGGTATTCATCTGAGTTTCTATAATAAACAATTAAATAACTGACTGATATATAAAAGTGTTCCTGCCTTCGGGGATGCATTGTTGAATAGAAACTACTCCTAAATTATTGTGTTCCAATTAATTAACAGATCAAGAATGTTTTTCTTTTAGAGAGAAACAGAATGAAGGCAGGCCTGCACAGGCCGGCATCCCTGAGAACGGCCATGACATGCCTGTCTTTCTTGAAGACGGATCCATGTTAGCATCTGAAAGAGTTGGTGTCCTCGCTAAGTAGTCATGGTCTTTGTCAAAAGAACTCTGCAATTCTCCTGATTGATTGCTTCTCCCTGCATCCCTGAGAAGTAATGGCCTTAGGTTCAAGTAGTCCTGGTGTTGACAGATTGTGAGAGAGTTCAAAGGTCAGGTGAAGGAAACTGTCTGGTCCTGTCCTCTGACAACCGTAAACAATCCCGGCAAAATCATTATGTTGCAAATCAGGAGTTTTCTGAGACTTGATTGTTCTTAAATCACTGTTTTCATTCAGCCACACACTTGGTTTCTATGTAAATAAAGCAGCTTGGACTACTTCCTCCTGACCTCAGATTTGAATGGGGTGTGTCCTGAAATTAATCAGGCAACACTTCCACCCACATGGAACAGGATGCTCAGGAACAAAAAGGATAAATGGCGCACACAAACAAAACGTAGGCCGATAGCCTGCTAAAAAAAGAAGCCAGGGTTTTGTAGTAGAACTGCTGCCCACTTTCTGAGGACTGGGAGGATACTTAGTTCACATGGCTCATGATGATGTCAGAACCAGAGAACAAGTGGCAGCAGGGCGGGATGGAGGTCTGGCCATGATTGTGCAGGCTGGCATGCAAACCCATCTCAGATTCCAGACATAGCGCCAAATTCCCCTTCCCTCATAATGCCTTCAAGCAGATCACGCCACTGCTTTTAGGAACCTGTCACTGTCAGCAGCAGCAGTAGTAGCCTGCAGCAGTGAAAATCTTCTCCTCAATGAACGCTCTTAATGTTAGTTAGAAGACAGATTTTACAGTTTGGACCCCAAAGATTCTTAATGACACTCGTCGTGTTTACACTGTAGGTTAAACCTCTAAACTGTCTTCTATCTCCATGGATAGAATAGGCAGAACATGTTAAAATGCATATACATTTTTAATCTAATTATTTTCACAAACTAATTAATTAATTAATTAAGGCATTACTTGGTCTGCATTTAACAACACTAACCCAAATTCCCTCCTACTCCACTAATAGGATTGACTATATAAATGGCTCTGTGTTGAGACATCCCATCATTCTGTCTCCAAAGCATTCCAGCATTAAAACAAATGAGAAAAAATTGGCACACACATTTGTGAACATGCTCTACAACAATTCTCAATTCAGTCGTGCAGTGATGCTTGGAGAATAAGAATTAGGGGAAATATTTGTCATTGTTTCCACTTAATTCATTGTAATGTGCTACAAACAATTGTCAAAATGCCAATAACGCCTAAAGAAACAAAGCCTCAGGAAACAAAACCAATCATGAGAAAACAAATACAGGACCCAAGAACTCTGGGCCTGTCCTGGCCAGTCCGTCCAACCCTGCTGCCACTACACACATCCTGGATATGCACAGCCCTCGGAAATAAGTCCAAACCCTATGTTTTGTTATTAGAAGAAGCATTAAATATCCTAATGGCATGCTAAGTACACTAGAAGATTCCAGACATGAAAAAGATTGACAAGCTAATGGGAAAAAAAAAACATGAAATAACACATCTGCTCCTCCCTGTGTCTGTTGCTCTGGGCTGCAAAGCAAGGTGTCATGCCAGAAGTGTAAGTACAGAGAGCTGTTAGGTGTCAGGGAGGTCAGAGTGTTGAGCTGCGACAAGACTGTTTGACAACCCGTCTGTTTTGCTTCTGCTCCCATTTTCAAATTCCTGACCTTGATCTCCTGACGTTGACCATACACATATAAGGTATGAAGTATCCAGTCATTATTTAACCTTACAATTAACACAGGACAAGCAAGGTTAGGGCCAGCGGTCTCCCACATGACCAAACACTACTTTTTTCCTCTGGCCACAAAAACTACTGAGAAAAACAAATACATCAGAGAGCGAACACAGAGACCAGATAAAAAAGACACAGAGGAAAGCACAGAAGCAGGTGTTCAATAACATATATTCATAGGGGTTTTTTTCTGAATTTATTCTAGGATATAACTGCATATTGTCATGTAATGTGCTTGTAATTTCATTTTTGGTGATATCCTGGTCGTGTGCTGGTAACCACAGATTCAAACTGTATTTATTGTTGCACAACTACAGCAATATTTACATTACATGCCAGTGTTATTTGACTACAATTGCACAGTGACTGTAGACCGTGATGATCAACTAACTGTCTACACTGACACCTAAATAACTATCAGTAATCCCTACCGTTTATGACTCTATTTTTGCATTATATTTACATTCCATACAAAAATATGATTTATATTTTTGTATAACCTGAGTTACTTAAGTTGAGGCCCCTGTAGGTGACCCCTGCTGTTGACCAAAACTGCAGACCTATGCCATAACTTGAGACCCATTTGTGTTTGAAGACTGTAAGTGGTTTGAATGTGTTACACCATCACATGTATTTATTCTCTGGAAAAAAAAAGGCTCATTGCGTAACTTTCTCTGCTACTTCCATTACTGTACCTGCCACATGGATCTCTTGAATTGAAATCTCTGTGAGATCTTAGCACACTAAGAGCGACCTAGTAAAGAATTTCTCCCAGCCTACTGTAACTACACATTTTTTTCAACAAGTGCAGTCAAGAAGCAACTGAAAATCCCTAATCCTAAATTCCAGCCAAAGGGCCCTGCAGTGTAAAAAGGAGAATGTGTGCAGTCCTCCTGACAGACAGAGGCCCGCTGAGTGGTCCCAGGAGAGTCGGACCTGGGAGGAGAGGTGATGAATGCAGTTTCAGAGCAGTGAAGAGGCATCTTCTCCTGTTTGAGGGGATCAATGTTGTCAGAGCGATGCTGCAGACTGGAGGCCTGGAACAGTTGTTCACGAGTTTGTCACAATGCCGGTTGTCTTTGTGTGACAGGTGGATGATGGAGGGGGAGATGGGTGGTCTGGGGTAAAGTGCGTTTTTGGACAAACTGTTGTTGACCTGTTGAAGTCATCCTATGGCAGGTCTATGGCAAAATGCTGAGGAAAAATGTTACTCTGTTATGAGAACTAGGATATGGAATTCTATTTTGGGTGCTATGCTAATGGATACCTTTTTTTCCCACTGTTGGCTATGATTACTACTTGTCTACATTGTTTTGTGTGACAGCAGCACAGAGTTTGTCCTGTCAACAAAACAGCACAATTAAAACTTTAGCATTTTCAAATTCCATATTTTTCACCACGTGTCCACATAAATGTCCCCTGCATGTGAAAAGTAGTCTCGGACTCTTACTGTGCCCAACATGTGAGTTAATACCAGTGTGGTATGTCCAAGGATGACATTGATTGAGTACAATATAAATAACTGCAGTATTTGTTCCCTTTCCTATCAATAGACACTGTTGAAAGTAGAAGCTCCATTGTTCCTGAAACAGGCTCCAGGAAAACTCCTGCTCCACCAAAACTTCCCATTGCATGGGCGTCTGCGTCAGTCAATGTGACCACTAATTAGCATGTCCATGTGTGAGTTGGTGACACGGGTCTTCAAAAGGTGAACAGATCCCACGTCAACCCCTGTCGGCCTTTCCACACTGACGCTCCAGATTTAGAAAGCCGTGATGCGCACCCAGAGCCAGACTGCTGCTGCTGCACGAGGTGTCTGTTAGTGGAGTAGTAAATATCTGCTGGGTTGGCATGGCGCCTCGGGCAGTCCGGCTAAAGACAGGTGCTTACATCACCTCCATCACCACTTTAGTAGGGGCATAGCTACAACCTCTCCAATCTCTAGGGTCAAACTGTGATGACTGTACTTTATGAGCAAGTCTTATTACCATGTCTGTGTTAACGAAGGATTTCAGAAGAACTAAAACAATGCACTTTTATCAGACATATGATCAGACAGTACGGCCCGAAGTGTATTTATTTGTGTTGGAACAGAAGATAACAGCTAATTTTCTTCAAACAGAACTCACAGATTCTTTTGAAAATTGCTTTTCACAGCTGCTCAACAGTCTGTGGTTGCTGTAAACTGATTCCCTCCTTGATAATCCTCCAGACATTTTTAATAGGAGACAGACATAAACCACAAGCAGGCCTGTCAAGTATACACACTTCATTTCAACGAAGCCACGCTTTTTGTAGTTTGTGATGAATTTGCACATCTCTTTCTCAAATTCAATGTAAAGCTATGGCTCAGTTACTGTCGCACATAGACAGATCACCAATGTCATGATCTACTTATGCATACTATTGCATCACAGTTGATGTATTTTGCACTGCCTGTTTTGATAGTATGAATGTTATTTACTTTTTACAAAAAAATGTAAATTAGACTATTTGCATTTTAAACCAGCTTACTTCAGTTAAGTGCTGATTTGCCACAGCAATTTCAAACAACCAAGTCCATACAATTGATAAATGGAGGTTCCACTGATCTGCCATAGAGCAGATTTTAATTTTTACTGCATTTTTAGGAAGAGCTCTAACATTTCTGTAAATAGTTTCATTACACAGGAGCTAAATATAAAATATAGCCCCCACACATTCACTTGGCAGCTGCAATGATGAAACACTACTATACAGACAGTCTCTATATCTACATTCTTATTCATGCATCATCCATCCAAGCATCATGCTTCTGAATATTTAGAGGCCTGATGTCCGGGGGGATGTTTTCAGACACTCAAAATGTGTCTGTGTGTGTGTTTCTATGTGTTTTCTGTCTAGGTATTTTCTCACCAATGAATTACACCACTCCTTCACTTCTATTTACCAAATGAAAAGAGAAGGCCAGGTCATTTTCCGCTGAGATTAAGAAGAACTAACCCTTTGTGAGAGTGTGCAAGCACCGAAAAGATGTCACACAATACTGCCTAGAAGGATTCTAACACAAAGGGGGGCGACGGCTGCTAGTAAAACATTCAACCCTACTTCAGTGAAGAGGGACCCCTCAGAGAGGGGATTAGGTTCCAGGGAAATGTCTTCAAAATTGAAGTTCTTGGGAGCGTTATCTGTCTGTGATTGCAAAACTGTTAACGGCAGCCAATGCCACACACACTAACCGGAAGCAGATCATTTATGTATTTCAGTTTTAGCATTCAAAGTCCAGAATGGTGCACATGTTGACAGCGCCAAAAAACATCCAGTACCCAACAGAAGTACCTGATGTGCTAACACGCCAATAAATCATGCATAACATGCAATTGGGGTCCATTTAAAGCCACAAAAACCACCGCTTTAAGCTCCATCATCAACACGACAAACACCTGTTACATACAGAAATAATACAGCCTTCACCTTCATAACAACCCATACTTCAGGACCACCAAACAAAATCAATTTTACAAGTACAAATTACAGAAGTGGAAAATAAAAAATGAAGCATTTAGGGTGTCATTTTTACACAAACCAATCAAATCAGCTCAGTCTCAGCAGATAGGAAACAAATAGCAATACGCCTTTGGCACGTTCGCCTATCTATACTGGGCTTACTCATGCTCCTAAAATACATTACCAGTGAAGAAGGAGTGGCTGACAAGCTGAATAATTGTATGAAGTTAACCAGTATGTGTTGCCTACTGTTTTCTATAAATAGTTTAGCAGAGGGCAACAATTCTCATAAAAAAGGCAGTAATTTGGTTACAGACAAAAAAGTTTAGCTAGGGAGAAAAAGGAATTAAAATGTCATATTTTTATACAGCTTAACTAATCAATTAACAGATAGGAATAAGCTATAACATTATATGATGAAAACATTGCATATGATCTCCTACAAATGTTTACGTCTGCAATTTTGGGCCAATTACTTAGAAAGAATACAAGAGGATTGTATAGGTCCTGCAAGAGCAAGGGAGCGAGACGGTGTCAGCTCAGGTCATGGTGGTAGACGCAGAGGTCACAATGACAAAGAGAAGCTTGTCGACTCACATTGGTCTGTTTTGGACAAGATGGCTTATCCTTAAGGACTGAAATGACGGATAATATGTGGCACTAACAATAAACAGCTTAAAAGAAAATAAGACAGGGTTTTGTTGCAACAACATGGCTCACAGGAAGTGTTTGATGGAGTGTTTATTTGCAGTTATGCTACCATCTGTTAGTCTATCTATCCATCTATTATTTCCAGATTAGTTAATAATGACCTCAGTCTTTAACAGCATATTCAGTTAGTATGGTCAGGAGCCTTCACAAACACTGTCTGATGTAAAAGTGGAGGGATTTCACCATATATGTCAAACAAGCAGTGGAAAACCTGGCTCTGCATTGTGCAATAAGCTGGTCAGTGTTTTTTCGACCAGTACAGTCTATTTATATTTACATGCATGCAATTAGCAGACGCTTTTATCCAAAGTGACTTACTATTCACTAATCACTTAGCAGACGCTTTTATCCAAAGCGACTTACTATTGCACAAGTGCACACTTGGATATTTGGAGTGTTCCACCACTAAAGAAAAAAATCTTGGCCCCAAACAATACTGTCAGGATTTGCTAAAGGTTGCAACAAATTTGTAGTATTTACACCCATCCCAACACCCTGTGATTCCACTAGTGTCTTTATAATATCACTGGACGTAGCATGACTCAGCAGTGTGCAGTCTAAACAGGGAAGGGGGCAGAACAAGGGTGTATCAGGGACACAGGTCCTAGATAATATATTTATTAGGGCAAAAAATATTATTTTTTGATTAATTAGAGTTAATTATGATTGATCATGGTAAATAATAAAAAGACATGGACTAGGTCCTGATTTTTGTCCTCTGTAGCCTTCATATACTATGTAAATGTTATGGTTAGGAAGTAGGAAAAAAAATGAAAAAACACACAAAGCCTATTGAATTAAGTCTTCCATTGTGGTGGATTGACTTCAGGATATCAGCACTATGTGAAAATCACAGCTCAGTTCAATCAGATTAGTCTACTTCAACTGAGGTTGACATTATTTTCTCCTCTTTACAGAAAACAGGAACTCACTCCTTCAAAAAACCCTCTCTCTTTGAATCAGAGCATTTGAACGTAAACATCAGCTGTGCCATTATCTAACATATCGGCTGAGCGCTACAGAGAACATCAGAGCAGACACCTGCATTGGTCTTGAAAGAAACCACAAAAACCATTCAGCAGAGTTTTGCCCACATGTCACTGAACACTTCATTTATGCTGAGGATTTTGGAAAACAAAACAATGCAACACTCCAACAATCTGATTACAACGTCTAGGACATTACCATAGCACAATTTCCTGGGTCATGTACATGAGTACAGTTTAGATTACGTCTGAAGAAGAAGCTTGAATGAAACACTCTCTATGAGCCATATTGTAGTATGTTTTCTGCAGACATAGGCTGATAATAAATTATTCATATTGTATGTTTATTTTTTTGCCAGGAATGATTGCAAAATCAAGTGTGTTTTTGCAATAAAATCTGACTTTGGTGGTGTGATGATACCAGATGTTGAGAAGCTTTTGTAAATGTGTTCTCAATACCAGATCACAAATCTGTCCCTGGCATGCATGTTTTTTTTTAACCATTGTTTTCATTCTATTCCTAACACAGGTCCATATTTCTTCCCAGAACTGGTTAACAAGAATTGAGTGTACAACAGCCATAAATGCTACAGTGGCAGGTGAGCATTGTTTACAGTCTTTGTGGTTGCATTAGATGGCATCAGTAGAAAAATGCGTATGACAGGTGTGAGTGTGTGTGTGTGTCTGTGTGTGTGCGCACATGCAACGGGGAACAGCACGATGTGTGGCTGTTTGTCAGATGTCTAGCTGCACTCTTTATAGCACTCCATAATGCAATAATACTATTTTCCCTGCTCCCACATAAACTGAGCATTACCACGTATTAGAGACAGACTTCCCTGCAGACTCTACATGTGTCCATCCTCCTAAAGCTCGCTCTATATTTAGCCACGTAGGATCACTCGCTCAGCTCAGCCTGTCTAAAAACAGAGTTAGAAAAGCCCGCACCCATTGTCTGACACAGTGCCCACAGGGAGCCATAAATGCAACATGTGTACAGAGAAGCTCATTTCTCGCACACTCATCTGCTACAAAACAAGTCAAAGCAATGAGTACTGCAGAAGAGTCCCAGGCCTCCACCTGCACTCCCACCTGTGACTGGGCATCCATTGGGTGCCTTACCCTGACAATGAATTCCTTCCTTTTCCTCACTGCAGATATTTGAAGTACAGTTTTGTTTTTTTTAGTGGGCTGCATGCCAGGCTCTTTCAGGCGACATGGGTCGTGATGGAAGCATATTAACTAGACAAAGGCACATGACTCCTACATGATTCCTGGCAAACATCCACAGCACAGACATTATTAACAATATCACCACACTGAGCTGCTGAAGTTCAAACTAAAACTGAATCATGTAACACCTTTGTTATATCTAGATATCTAGATATTTAATTTTGGGAGGATGGCGGGTGATTAAAGAAGATGGTCCTTATAATCCATCATGAGTTAGCACACCTCACAGTAGCAGAGTAAGGAGCAGGGCAGAAAACATTTTCCCTTTCCAGCACACATATATTTGACTGTCAACACACAGCAGTCATTATAACACACAGCAGGTTGCAGCAGGTAAACAGTTGTTCAAAGCAAATTGTGGTATTTTAAGCTTACCTGCCCCAGGTCTAGGGTTACATTCACTTCATTGTACCCCGGCCCTCTGGAAAGAGGAGGGCTCTGCCACCACCGCTCTGTCCCATCAATGGCATTGGTCACTGGGTGGGCTTTGTTTTGATCAATGGAGTTGCAGTAATCACAGAACTGACCCTGAGTTGGGGGGGGGGGTCAAACAGTAGCATTAGGTCACACAGAAGTCACCAAATTGCAGTGACAGAAGTATGGGCATTGCAACCACAAGCAAATAAAAGCACGGGCATGTCATTGTAAAACTACTGCTCTTACACAAGAGCAGCGGTCTTACATCAGCATGACTGCTGAGAGAAAAGAAAACCCACAGAGAAGGCACTGAAAGGCCATTTCCTTACTTAATACTTGGCACACAACAGTGGAGTCACACTGCTCCAGTGGTACATAACTATTGTTATCCACAAAATAAAGATGGTGGCGTTAAAGCAGACACATAATACAATAAATTAAATGTGGCGTTAAAGCAGACACATAATACAGACACATCTCATTGATGATGAGAATAATAATATAATAATAATAATAATAGTGATGATGTTATATAACTCCATGGTATCTACAGGTGAACAGATAATATATTTTGCTGCTAAGTGCAGGCAATTTTACGCACAGACAAATCTCTTTAAAAATCACTCCTTCTTGACATTCTTACCCGTATGTTTTGACTAGTTAGTCCAACGTTCGGTCCTCCGACGAGCTTACAGTACAAATCATATCTGGGTCTATCAGCCTCATCCTGGCCGCAGGTTGCTGTGGCAGAGATCGTGGAGCCCTGAGCGAGATTAAAATATGGAGGACTCAAACTGTAACCTGTGAATCCATGTGCGGTCCCTTGTCCATTTGCATCCCTTAAAAGTACTGCAGTCAAAGAAAAGAGTACAGCGAGGAGATGAGTTCCTCTCATCCCCCCTCTTGCCATGTTCCACATTGGAGACCCCTGTAGATGCTGAGTGCAGGTCTTATCATTTACAGAGCTCCATGAAGCGCAAAACGCGCCTCATGCGCCAGGCGAGTTCTGCCGTTCCGTGGAACAGCGTGAAAGTCATACAAAGTTTTAAGATCGTCTTCGGTGCTGCTGTTGGACGTGTGTGCTCTCGGTTCGCCGCATGTTAACGCAAAACAACTCTTCCGTCTTTTTCGCTTCCCACCAGTATGGGCGCCCTCGTCTGTGCAGCTCTCAGGTGTCAGGCTCTCGTTCAACTGAGCTCGACGTTAACAAGCAGAGACCAAAGGTCTCCAGTACAAGTTTACTGAGTGTATGAACACACCTCCTCTGCGACTGTAACACTGAAGTCATAATAATAATAATAATAATAATAATAATAATAAAATATGGCATGACGTCAATTTGAATATTTTTTATTATTTTTCGTAAAATGTATTTTTTTCATTGGTAGTTTAAATATACACAAGCCAACATTTGAGATTCGACAAATTCGACAAAAAATAGGAAGATGTTATACTAAAATATACTAATGTTAACTCATGACGTTCAATGATATATTATCAAATGACAAACCTGCTGAATTATTTCCTTTAAGGCAAGAGCATCAACCACTTTTCATCTTGTGACTGATTCACTCATCAGGGCATTGTAAACTTGTTTTTTAGTCGTATATTGCCAAAAAACAATTATTATTATTATTATTAAATTATTGAGACCAAATTTCACAGAGTGCACATTTAAGGAAAAAGATGCACAGTTTTAAGCCTGTTTTAGTACGACTATAGCAACCTCTAGTGGAATAAGCGGATCCTACACGTTTCACTGGATTAACATAGCCTCATAAATAACGAGACCTCCGACACAGCGACAACTCTAAACATCTGTGTTCGGTTTTTAACATCTGTATTTTGTATTTTGTTTGATTTCCACTCTCCGTGCTTGGGGATATTTACGATATCCATATTAATCAAATTAAAAGTAATTTTGAAAGCCGTGAAAGTTATTTTCCTATGTAGGTCAGAAATATTGGATTGTCATGACAACGGAGTAAAACAAAACTTGACAGCGATATGACTCAGTAGCAGCAGTCTTTTCCACTGGCTCTACTTCCATTACCGTTCCTAAAACTGGGCAGACTGCATTTTCAGCGCATGTCAGCGCCAGAGAGGGAGTGACGAGCAAACAGGAACTAGTTGAACCTAAATAAACGAAAGGAAGCTGGATTGAGTGCGACACAGGTTAAATTAGTGTTTGTACGTTTTGTCATTTGTACTTATGGAACCAACAAATCTACAGGTTAGTGGAATAACTTTGACTGAAGCCGTAGATCCTTCTGTTTGTGTGTTAGGGAGTGGAGTGTCAGACTGTAGATGCGGTAACAGGGGGAAAGTACGCTCACCGTGCAGCCTATTTAACACAACGCACAGTGTGTGTATGTTTTGGGAAATGTGTTATTATGACTGGGTAAAGGTTTAGTACACATGCTCTGTACACGTGTATAACCTTTTTTTTCGGTTGTCATAAGTTTGTTTTCTTTCATTTTGCCGTTCCTGGTGCACAAAGAAGTGGCGCTTTGGCCCAGAGGCAATGTCTCTGTCATTGGTGTGGAACCCCAGGGCTAGTTCGAATCCCGGTTAGGGCAGTTGGTACCTTCTGGTGGACTCACCACCCGCAGGAAGGTTTAGGGGGGTTGGTACGGTGCAATGTGATTTGGGTGGCGACTGCTGCCCCCGCGACCCGGTAACGGATAAGCGGATGAAAATGGATGGATGGTGCACAAAGAGCCTGGCATACGTATCTAAAGTGGCAATTATACTGTATACTATTCTTTTTAAAGTCAATTAAGGGATAGACTGCATAATAACAACATTTCTGTCCAGTCATGTCAACCGTTTCCTTCTGTGCAAGCGTTGATTGTCGTTTTTCGATTGTTATCGCAGTTTACATAATTGTGACTATATGTAAATAATTCGTAGTTTACTGTCTATTTGTCATTAATTAGTAGTTTATATGCTGTGTCTTGATAAACATTAGTTTGTTTTAATCATTGCAAGTCAATATAAAAAACATTCTGCTGCAGAATGTTTAAATGCAGTGGTACATTTATTTTTATACTATTATTATGGCTGTAACATATGTCGTTATATGCTAAATCAAATTTTTGCTAAATTAATGTGAAAAGCAGGTGGGTAGTGTATGTTAAAGCCACAAGGACTAGTCTAATTAAATGTGCAACGTTTTTTAGGGTAGATGATTAATTTGATATTCTATTCTGTTTGACAGCCGTTGTATGTCAACAGGAACCCAGACGAATAGTGTAGTAATTAATGTTTAAATACTTTAATGTAATGAGGGAGAGGTTTTGTAATAATTTCGGGCCAACCTTGAACTAGTAATGCCATTGATTCTGCCAATAATGGAGAGCTCTCAGTAAGTATTCCGATTACACAGTAAATCTTATAACATAGTGAGAAGATAAATGATGCTGTCAGTCTTTAATTGGCTTTGAAAAGCATATACCTTAATACAATTTCCTATGTAAATATAACCTGGACTTCATGTCATGATGCAAATCCCATTTTGGAATGTTCTCGTCTTTACTGTGGATATTTTGTATTATTATTACTATTATTTGTTTGTGTGTTATGATTATAAAAGCCCTACTTTTTTACATTTTCCTCCAGAAAGCCATTGCTGTAGCACAGAAGGCCTCGGAGGAAGATCAAGCTGGGAAATATGAGGACGCCATCGTCTCCTACCAACACGCTGTCAAGTATTTTTTACACATTTTGAAACGTGAGTAAAAATCTGATCTTATTGATTTTTTTTTCCTTCTTGTTCCAGGTTCCATTAATATGAATGTGCTTCCTGTGAAATTTTGATTTCCTTATTTAAAAAACTGTCAGGGACAGTAATCACTCCATATTTTAGAGTTTTAGAGAAATTATGCTAAGCTATGCTAATATTTACAACATACTGTATCATAAATAACAATAGTTATTTTTGGTCAAGACAGGTTTGTTGTGTACAGGAAACTGGGTTTTAATGTTTTTGTATCACTCATTACTTAAAGGGTAAGTAAACAGCAACCACACAGTAAAACTGCTAATATTTAGGTAAATATTTTTTTGATTAGACAATTACAGATCACATCCTTTGTCTGATTTGTGTGTCTAAGACTTACTCCAATATCCTGACAACATTTTAGTTTTGAAAAAAACCCAAACTGATGTAATGTTTTTTTGTTCTGTCACTAGGTGAACCCCAGGGTAAAGATGGAAACCAGAGGATCAGGGACAGATGTAAAGAGTACCTGGACAGAGTCGACGAAATACAGTATTACCTAGACAATAAAAAGGTTATTTACTATACAACCATTTAGAACTACCCTTAGAACAGTTTCCAGGGAAATCACTGCAGGAAGTTTACTGGGCGTTAGAATTATGTGCTGTTTTTAGTATCTTACATGTAGCCCTTGTCAGGGTGTCAGGTACAGTAAGAGACAAAGTATACAGCCAATGATAAACCACAAACCAAAAACCACCTGACAAAACATCATTAAACATAGTATAGTGACTAAGTGACTGGGTGAGTATAAAGTAAATAAACAAATTATACTAAAATGGCAACAAGAATAGACACTAAATTATGACAACTGTCCAGGGCATACTGTAACCTCACCCAATGGGATGGGCTATTAAATAATGAAATAGCAGTCTCAAAATTAACTGTGTGGAATTTAGCATTATGATGTAGTGAAGTTACACCATCTTGTTAAATATTTAGTATGCGTACTAGGACTAGATGTTTCTGTCCCCGATAATCAATACCCATTATTTTTTTACTTAGGATTTCTCCTAAGAAAAAGTTGGGGGTGTCCTTTTGGGGTGGTGGTCCAGCAGTGTTATGCTTTCAGGTTGTTTAAAATATTTCTAAGGACCAAAAATGCATAATGAGTGTAAAAAAAAGAAGGAAAAGTGTATATATATTATTTGATCTAACATAACTGAACTATCTAAGCGTTATGTAAATATTACACACAAAAACATCTTTTGTGAACGATTTGCATGACTCGGACATGACGCAGTCCGTTTTGGAGTGTACGTCTTGACGTCACTACATTTCGTGTACGCTGGTGTCGACTTTTCAATGCGGAAGTTCCCTCCCTGATTCGACGGGGTAGCGATCCAGGAATTGAAAACAACATTGAAAAACTTAATTTAACAGTTAACACTGTAGTTCTAAGTCTAAGCTATAACGAGGAAAAAGGCAAATCGTTTTCCCGTGGAGGTTTGATATTTGTTAAGATTATTGCAAAGCGTGGTCTTCCTTATGGCTACCAATAATTTACAGGTAAGTTAAAAGACCTAGAACCCAAAGCTAAAATAACGCGTAACACTATAGCAGAAAGTTGTCCACAACTAGAAATAAACAACCTGTTTAACGTATGTTTACTTAATGTGAAGGTTAATGTATTATAAAATGTATCCGCACGGGGCGGTGGATGTTTTAAAATGTATCAATCTACTAGCTTACTTTTAGCATGTTAGCTAACAAAGCTAACCTGACATGAGTTCGTCTTTAACTTCTTAAACATGTGTTCTTCAAAGCATATTTCGTTTCGCTTGTAATAATCTTTCACGATAACACAAATACATGAGGTTGTGTGACGATGGCAAATGTGTGACGATGGTTACATTTACTAACGTGAACAAAAACAGTAATTCCATATGCGTTGCAAACTGACTTGTTTCGCTGGCTTATGAAAAGCAAGTGATATCTGAAACACAGGTATCACTGTAACATATTCGGAGATGCTTATGGTCCATGCCGTCAGTTCAGTGAGCAAAAGGGGGTGAAATTATGTGCTTTCAAACTGATGTCAAACAGTCCATCGTCGGTGTGTACTGTGACGTCACTAAACCAGAACAGGTGGAGCATTTAATTTGTTATTACATAATGATATAAATGACCTTCGTTGTGACTTGAAAAGAGATATTTCTCCAATAAGTTCCACACATGTATCAGTTTTACAATTTACGTAGTCTGTTTTGTTTATAACTAATAAGCACATTATAATTTGGCATGTTTCCATGCTGTTTTTTAAACTTAGTAAATGCACTATAACATTAATTACGAACAAGTTAGATATTTTCATGATACGTTGTTTTATGTTTGCTATTGAAAAGCCATTCTCCAAGATAGAAATGACAATCATCATCACAACCCTAGTTTTAATTATAACATAGACACAATTCAACTGTCTTGTCGTGTTGATTCGAGTATTAAACAGTAAATTAAACTAATGTCAATAACTTTTTAAGTTTGATCTTAGGTTTTTCCGTAGTTAGACTCTGGTGCATTCATGATAGTTAGCTAAACAGCCTAAATAACTATTAATTACTTTCGAAGTATAGTTAACATTTGACATCCTGATATGTTTTTATGAACTAATGTTTGTTTTTGTTTTTTTTTTTTGTCTTGAAGGAGCAGAGAAACATACATAATACACCTAAATATTCATATTTAAAAGTCAGGATTAGCTAAACAATTTTTGCAAAACAATTTCTGAACTATCTTTATTAACTGTTGACTGATATCGTAGTTAACTGCAAAAACCATTGTTTGACTTGATGATGCAAATGTGGCCTAATGTGACAAATGTAGCTAAATATTTTTTTCTGTGTCTGCTTTAGAAAGCCATTGATTTAGCCAGTAAGGCTGCTCAGGAGGATAAAGCTCAGAACTTCGAGGTTGCGCTGAGGCTGTACCGGGATGCTGTTGGTTATTTCCTCCATGTGGTTAAATGTAGGTAGATAAGACACTGGTATTACACATGATGATGCTGATGTAGGAAATGTAGTTTCCCCCGAATAACAGTGTACAACATGAACTTTAAAGATACAAAAGCTTGAGGTTGTTTCCAAGAGAAACATTGACAGCGTTGTCATTAAAGGTAGTGTTGGTACAGAAACTAATGACGTGTAAATACTGTTTATTCTTGCTCAGATTTTTTTCTGTCTTCAGTAAATCCATCAAGTTTGATTTGTAAATCTGCATGAAGATTGCATATTTTTTAATTTGAACCAATACTGCAAAAATATTATTTATAACTTGCAATATACAGTTATAAATACTGCTTGATCTTACATCGTTTGCAGATGTAAAATCAGCAAATGAACACTGGCTCAAAACCACTTACATTTTCACTTCTCTCCGTGTAATTTGCCAAAAATTATAAATCCATTCATATTTTTGAGTCCTTATTTAACTCTCTTTATTTCCTGCAGATGAAGCCCAGGGTGATAAAGCAAAACAGAGTATCCGCGCAAAATGTAATGAATACCTGGAGAGAGCAGAGAAGCTGAAGGAGTATTTGAAGAAGAAAGAGAATGCTCCTGCTAAGCCTGTCAAAGAATCAGGTTCTGACGACAAAGGGTGTGTTTTTCTGGGTGGGGCATTGGGTTAATTCATGCTAATGTCATGCCATTCAAGGCTAAAAAAAATAACATTGCCCTTCAGTGTCAAGGCACTAAACTAATGATGTTAAGTTATAATCATTCTGTGTGTTTATAGAAATGACAGTGATGAAGGAGATGATCCAGAAAAGAAGAAATTCCAAAATCAACTCTCAGGTTTGACAGTTGATTCTAATGCAGTTTTTATATTTTTTATATATGTGACCAATTATCGGTTAATTCTATCACAATAGAATTGTTAGACAATGCACTAATGCAGTATGCTTTTTCAGGTGCAATTGTCATGGAGAAACCGAACATCAAATGGAATGATGTTGCTGGACTAGAAGGAGCCAAAGAGGCTCTGAAAGAAGCTGTTATTCTTCCAATCAAATTCCCTCACCTTTTCACAGGTATTTACTGTTACACAGGAAGTTGTTGTTCCATTGTTGTCGATAGGTGCCTGTGATACCATACCTCTGCACACTTGCTGTAAATTTCCCCTCTGCTTGGATCTTAGGAAAGAGAACTCCATGGCGAGGGATTTTGCTTTTTGGACCCCCAGGTACAGGAAAGTCCTATCTGGCAAAAGCTGTTGCTACAGAAGCAAACAATTCCACATTTTTCTCCATCTCTTCGTCTGACCTTGTCTCCAAATGGCTAGGAGAGAGTGAAAAGTGAGTTATTTCATCAGAAATCTTAATGAAAAACAGGTTAACCATCAAAGTTACTTGCGTCTAATGCAACTATATTTTCTGTTAATGAAATGCTTTGATTATTCTTCCTAGATTAGTGAAAAATCTTTTTAGCCTCGCAAGGGAACACAAGCCTTCCATTATCTTCATCGACGAGATCGACTCACTCTGTGGTTCCAGAAGTGAAAATGAGAGTGAAGCTGCTCGTCGTATCAAAACTGAATTCCTAGTTCAGATGCAGGGTGAGTCTTGCAAACAACGTGCATTTTCTTTTGAAAACTTCTCTCTGAGTTGTGAAAAATATTTTTAGATTTAAGATCTAGATTTATTTTAGTGTGCAGGTAAACATGAATGCCGGTTAATGTGATGTCAGTTTATATAGAATATGTAAGTGCAAATTTTATTTATCAAAAAGTTTGTTACTACAAACTTGTATTATTTTAGGTCACACAGTTTACAGCTATTAAACTGTGAAACCCAATGCTGCCATGACTTATTGTTGTCATTAAATATGGTGTTAAAGCAGAAAGGTCAATAAAAATATTTCTCCTCAAGAAGATGTAAGACTAAAATATAATGCACACATTGTCATAATTACTATAATTTCTGTCCATAATAAATGTAGTCATCAGTATTTGCTGTTGCAGCTTATGTTTACACTACAGGTTTAATTCTCCACCTTGCTACATATTTATTATGGTAGTCCTTATCATATGGGCTTAAAAGCAGGGCTGGAATTATTATTATTATTATTAATATGTGCACAATGAATTGTTTTGCAGGTGTGGGGAATGATAATGAGGGCGTGCTAGTACTTGGTGCAACAAACATCCCATGGACACTCGACTCGGCCATTAGAAGAAGGTAAATGTTGTTCATCAGCCTCATTTGACATGGTCCTGTTTCCCCATCTTCTTTAGCTTACTGTACATCACTTGTAACATTTCAGATTTGAGAAAAGGATCTACATCCCTCTGCCTGAGGAACATGCGCGTTCATTCATGTTCAAGCTCCACCTTGGATCCACTCCAAACAGTCTTTCTGAGTCCGATTTTATTACGTTGGGCAAGAAGACAGACGGCTACTCAGGAGCAGATGTTAGTGTCATTGTCAGAGATGCTTTAATGCAACCAGTTCGAAAGGTCCAGTCAGCAACACACTTCAAGCGGGTATGTAAAGAAACATTATAAGGAGACATTACAGTTTGTTCATGTCTCAATATATATTATTTTCAAATAGCTTCAATCTGCTTTATATTTGTTTTAAAGGTACGAGGTCCATCCAGGGATGACCCCAAGGTTATTATGAACGATCTTTTAACTCCTTGCTCCCCCGGCGATCCTAGTGCAGTTGAAATGTCATGGATGGAGGTCCCTGGAGACAAGCTATTGGAACCTATAGTATGCATGGTCAGTAAATTGAAAATTGTGATTCAAATTTATAACTGCTGGTGTTTGTGTACTAATGTACTGCACTGTTTTCTTCTTCAGTCTGACATGCTAAGGTCTCTGTCCAACACAAAGCCAACAGTCAACGAACAAGATCTGGAAAAACTGAAAAAATTCACAGATGACTTTGGGCAGGAGGGCTAGAAGTAGGATTCCGCCAAGTCGAACCAAAGCAAAGAGAAAAATTCTAATTGTGTCTCTATACTGTCCGTGTCCCTCCTCTCTCGCTCACTCTCTCCTTCTGTCTCTGTCTGTCTCTCTCCCCTGGTCATTTACCCCACCTGATTAATAATATCTGAAACGGGCAAGACCTCTGTGCTGCCAGTCTGATAATTTCACTCTAGTTAAAAGACCTCCATTTATTTGACATCCACCACTGTCCCAAAGATGATAAAAATCACTCACCGTCTAGATTGAAAATCAATTTTACTAAAAGAATTTCAAAGGGCTTGATGAGATATGTATTAAAAAAGTTTCAAGTATTGATGAGTTGAACAATGTACAGATTATAGACAACTGCCTAGATTAAAATGCCAGTTAAGACCAGGAATTCAAGTGAATCAAACTGAGTACAGACTAAACATTTGCATCTTAAATCGTTAGTCTGACATAACACTGGTAAATAGATATGCTTTATGCTATATTCTCTACGTATTGAAAAACAAGCATTAATTTGTAACAGACTTTGTGGAATATATGCAGTTACTCTTGTACAGGGATTTGACACAGGGAGGCATGAGTTGACAGATACTCAGGATAAAAGCAGCATTATCTCCTGTGTCAGTGTTTGATTGTCGAACATGTTTCCAAATAAATGACAAATATATTTGTTAAATCCAATGTCATTTGATGGTTTCACCAGTTGTGCTGTATCAGAACTACTTCATCATTTCTATTTTGTCAGAGATTTTTAGCTCGTAACTTTGTCAAATGGTTCATGTGTTTTCCCTGTCGATGACCCTTGCCGTTTTTTCTTTATAAACACTGCATAGTGTGCTAACATAGGAAAGTCATGCAGGATTTTTTGGTTAAATAAAATTGTGGAAAATCATCAACTCGCAAACTCTAAAATGAAAATGCATTTGCAAGCATGTGTATCCAGAAGAGACTGTCTGCACCATGTGCCTTCCAGAATTGCTGCATTTTTTTTTTTAGTTTTTTTTTTCTCCTTTGTTTTATAAGCGCATACAAGTGCTTTGTCACTACAATAAAAACATGTAGAATACTTGCACATTAATGTAAGCTCTTTTAGAGATTGCACTCTTTAGCTTTTAAGGTGTGCACAGTTTGAGTTTGATGGAAAACAAACATTTTATCTTACTGTAAATGTCTATACATATATCCAACTTTGGCCTTTTATTTTATGAAAAGTCCAAAAGATGCATGTTTTTTGTTTTGTAAATAAACATAATAGCAATGTAAAAAAGAAGGATGTTTCCTTTTTTGTAAGCAAATTGTGTGCTTTAGAAACTAACATGGGTTTTGAAATAAAGAGTTCACAGTGTTGTTTTTACAGTTATATATAATATAATAATGCCACACATGGTACAAGGATACCGTTTTCCACATTCTAATCATTTCATGGTTACCACAGTGTTTTACTACCATCATTATTATATATCTTTCTATTATGTCCACTTAACTTTTCCTGTTTTTTTCTTTACCTCTTGAAAGGCTTCCTCTAACTTTGCAAAAGTTAAATTTTCACCTCTATCCTTTATACACCTAACATGCTGTACGAGTAGTAAAGTTTATTTATGTAGCATGAAGTTAAAAAACACACGTATACTTTAGTGTAATTAAAAATGTAAAACTCAGAAACCAATGTTACCATTTAAAACGTGTTGAGGCATGCTGCTTAAATTGATTTCAACAGAATTAAATTAAATGCTTATTTAAAAATTACATAAAATGCTAATTTATTTATTATTTATTTTTTCATGTGGAACTAAACAATACATTATATTTGTTAAGCATTGTCGGCAAGTGTAGTATAATATGTTCAATGATACGTGAAAATACTGTTCCGGACAACTGCATTACAAAGTTTTCCTGCATTTCCATATATTCCTCATTTCTTTTTATTCATTATTCAAAAACATAAATACTAGCACATTGAAAAAAGGTTTACAAGGTAAATATTAGTGTCGAAAGTTGTGGAGTGTGTTCAAAAAAGGATGTGGCGAATGAGGAAGTAGAACGTTGCATTATGGTTGTTGTTGTTTTTACAGCACAGCATGGGGTTTAAACAACATCACGAGTTTCCTTGACAGGACTACAAATACCAACAATCAACAAAACGTTTGTTAACGCAGGGCAGTTGGGTTTGTTTTGGTTTATGCAAACTGCGTTTTCTGACCAGGGTCCAAGGTTCAGCATTACAACCTGACCGTCCTCGTCTTTGACTCACAGTCACGCTCTCCGTCAGCAACTCCTCTCTGGTGTTATACCCCTCTGTTCCTCCTCTCCCGGGGCCGCTCCCCGCCTCGTAGCCACCTTATCTGACAGTAGAAGCTGGCCTGCTAGTTAGCATACAGGCTAAACACCGCCAGGTTTCCCTCATGTCCTCTGAGGAAAGCTTGATCTTCGCGATCACAGACTGGCTCTTCGTCAATTCCTGGTGGCTGCTTCTGCCGTTCGTCATGCTGCTCGTAGTCGCTGCATTCATCGTTGCCTTTGTGTTGCTGTTGTATATGATATCGCCTCTAATCAGCCCCAAGCCTCTAAAACTGAACGGGGCCCACGTCGTGGTAAGTGATCCCGGAGAGAGGTGATGATTCTCCAGGGGAGTGTCAGGCTGCAGTGAATGTCAGCTAACTATTGAAGCGTTGGAGCAACAGTTATTTGCAACTTTAGACAAATGTTATTTGTTTTTGTTAGCATGCAACTAGATAACGAACCCATAGTTTAAAAAAAAAAGAGTTATTTCTCTTGAGTGTTTTTGGAGAATCTTTTTAAAGCAATCTCATGGCTAGGATTCTTATCCCGTCCAGTTTCCACCTATATTTACTAATGTGTGAATGCGACAATTACAATCAAATATATCACACGTGGATTCATCACAGTCCCACTGACCTTCATTGTTGAATTGTTTGACCAATATTTACTGTAGCTTTTGCACCTTGTTGATGATGAGTGTTCACTCAAAACGATTAGTCAAATGTTAGTTGCACTTGATTTTCTAATTTTAAGCCATCATTTCACTCTGTTGTCTCAGGTGCTCTCTTTTATCGTTGAAATGCTTTTCCAAGAGTCTCAAAAATAAGCCTTTAAAAATGAATAAGATAATGAATTTCAACTGAAATTGCTAGGGGGTTTTACTGTAATCTGATCCACAAATAAGAATAAAGAGTTGAGAAAAAATAGTTGAAAGCCTTCTGCAAATAGGTAGTAATGTATTAGCTTAATGTGGTAGCTTTTAATCTTTAGTGGTATATGCCTGCTGGGCCTAACGATGCAGTTCTTAACTGATTGTTGCAGGAAGACAACTTTCACTGTTTACACGTGACAGTAGTAAAGCTACTGTCACGTGTAAACAGTGGCCCATGAGTAAATAGCAACACAAACACACACAGGACTCTATACTGTTTTGGAGCCAGTGCAAGTTGCAATAATGTTTCTGTCAGTCTTTTTGTAAAATGTATATAAATAATAAAACAAACATTTAACAGGTTATAATTTTAAAAAATACTGTTGACTATATGTGAATGTGTAACCAACACTGTGTTGTGTTTATTATATAATTAACTGATTCTTGACAAAACAACAGTACTGCACTTCTTCAGTTCCTGTTGCCCCACCCGAAGGGTAGTTAGGTCCTTTGTGCTGATGATGTATGCTTCCCTCATCTTTTGAAAATTTGCAGGTCACAGGAGGCTCGAGCGGAATTGGCAAATCCATTGCTGTTGAGTGCTACAGGCAAGGAGCGTTCATCACCCTGGTGGCACGAGATGAAGTGAGCATGACAACATGTTTATTAATCATTTCACTTTGCCTACTTGACTAGTCATAATCCCTTTACATAAACCATTCCTGTGAAACATGAAACACTCTTCTGGTGAACTCCATGTTTGCAGTTCTTCTATGAATGACCCTTTTTTTTTTTTCTTACAGGCTAAATTACTTCAAGCTAAGAAAGAGGTGGAGAAGTTTGCAATTAATGATAAGCAGGTTGGATTTTTTTAAAATTCCAATTCAATTAAATATTAAGACAATTACTGTGTAGGATTAAAGAGCTATTATTTGTTTGCACTGGATCATATGAGTGACATAACAGTTTCTGTGTTCAGGTGGTGCTGTGCATATCAGTAGATGTGGCCAGTGATTATAGTCAGGTGGAAAGTGTGATAAAACAGGTGACCTTCTCTACCCCATAACACTGGAGCAGCTCTCAAACCTTTACAATGCCTTTGCCTAAGTGATGTTTTCCCCTCGTGCAGGCTCAAGAGAAGCTGGGTCCAGTTGATATGCTTGTAAACTGTGCTGGGATGTCCATCTCTGGGAAGTTTGAGGAAGTCCCAGTGGATCATTTTAAA